AATTGTTGCGGCATTAAATAATTATTCATAAAAATGATAAATTTGACATATTAACTAATATATTGTAGTGTTGTAAATCAAGGAATCGCATTGCTTATGAATTTATGAAAAATAAAGAATAATTATTTAAAATATATTAGGGGGCGCCATCTAGTAATAACAGTAGAAACTATTTTCACTATAAGCTTGAACGTTTTGTCACCGATGGCGCCACTAGTACTAAAACTCGCTCATTGATCGGCTCAGTGAGCGTAGAATGTTTTGGTTGCACCTATTTGGAAATATTGCTCAACCATGTCTAATTCAATTCAGTATTGTACAATGAAATTTGTACATGGGCTATGTTGACGTGCAATTTGTTCTTTTTAAATATTTTATAATTACATTTAAGATATAAGAGGCATGGTAAAATGGCTTCGACATATAATGATTACCCGAATAATACGGCCAACTTTAATTTCATAACAGAAAAATTATTTATATTAACCCAAAAGAAAAGTAATGATACAAAATTGATTAACACTTATCTTTGCGAACTCAATAAACTCGATTATCGATATGTCACTGTTTTAAATGACACTGTAAGTTGATTTGGAATATGTTTCAATTTTTTCAATTATCATTTAACATGATACAGCATTGAAATTCTTTATCTCATTGTAATGTTTTAGGAAATCCAATTATTAATTAAGCAATTATGTACAATTGCGACGCCTTTGCAAACACTTTTAATTCAAAATATTTGCAAGCTTTTAACCAGTTTGATCCAAAACAATGTAAGGCTACAGAGAGAAACAATTGTTTATTCTATACAATGGATTTTAGAAATGTTTGAATTTGCTGTGTTAACTGCACACAATGACATCCTTTATGCTTTGAAGACTGTTTTAGTCAATGAGCAATTTGATGACATCAATCATGTAAACATCACCTTTCTTTTAAAATAATAATTTAAATTATATCGTGACAATTTAAAAAATTATAAATCCATTACATTTCTAATATGTTCTTACAGTATATGCAATTATTACTTAGAAACAACAGATTGCTAGAAAAATATTTAAATCCTTCTAATTCACAATGGTCTGAAACTCATTATCATGCAGTAAGCTGCTTAGAAGGCATTCTAATAAACAAATATAATGACACTCCTATCAAACAGGAATTTATATGTATTATTAGAGATATTGTACTAAGGATTGTTTCATCTTTTTCGTACTTAAATGATAATCAACTGTATTGCTCTAAAGTAAGTAATAATTGTGGAATGTATTGTACGAGACCATCAATCTATTCAATTAAATTTTTAGATTTTAGGTTCCTGTTTACATATCCTGCGCATTATAATGGCCAATAAGTTATTACCACATTCCACTGACTCTGTGGGTGAAATTTTGGGAGTAGTGCAAGTATTTTTATTTTATGGTATGAAAGAATATCCGTATATAAAACCACAGCTTCTACGTCCAGCAGCAATGAACCTTCCAGAACAAATTCATGTTATACCTAAATGTAAAAATTTGAAGAATCATAAAGCAAAGTCGAAAAAACAACTTGCCAAAAAGTCTACCATGGAGGTAAAAAATGATACCATACCAGACTGTAGAGGTGTGGGTATGCAGTCTAGCGATTCTGATACCTCTGACACTGAAAGTAATAATTCTGTTTACGTGGATTCCAAAGTAAGACTGGAAGCTGTACATTTATTGCGAGCAGTCGTTAGAAATTCGCAAGGTCGTGAAATATTTGGATTCTGGCCGCAAATTGTAGCCACTGGATCGCGAAGCGATGCAAGAGTATTAACTAGAAGTATTTTAAAAGAATCCGTATCAAAGGTGAAACAAACTATGCTGAGCACTTTAACAGAATTACTCATAGATGCTAAGCCTTTTTTAATACATGCAGAAGACACAGATCATACATCTTTTATTACGTTCTTTGGTACAATGTGTTTGATGATAAAAGAACTGCATTTCACGTTGTCCTTAGTTTTAAATAGCGATAAAAATGTAGCAGTTTTAACACATGCTTTAAAGTGTGCTGCTGCTCTAATTCAAGGTACATCGTATTCACGTTTGAAAACAGGGCTTGCTACAAAGTTAATGAGAAACTGTAGGCCATATATATTTCATAAAGGTATTTATGTTATTAACATGTATTTTAAATGTATACAAATTTAATTAATACAATTATTATATTTTTTGTAGATCCAACAGTTCGAGTTGCGGCGCTGTCAGCTTTTGAAGCTATTGCTTCCTGTGATCCAATGACAATTGAAATACACGAAATACTTGCAAAACAGTCGACTGTGAGGGTAGAATCAGAGCAATTACACTTAAACGCTTTGCTTAGCGACAATACAGAAGAGGAAAAAGAAGAAGTAGATGTTGAAGACTTCAAAAGTAATATAATTGATGAATATAACAATAAATTATGGAAAGAAACAAACATCTGTTCCTTGATTCACGTTTGTTTAGAAAACATATCGAACAAGGTACAGTTATATTTAAAGTTCAAAAATTATTTATAAAATAATATATATATTATTTTGAAGATTGAATTATAAATTGTTTGATCACAGATGATGAGTACACCTGTTCGTCTTCAGTCCTTAAAACTAATTGGTAGAATGGCATTCAGTATGCAAAGTCTCGTGTTCTCACATGTAGAACTAGTTGCAACAACTTTAATATCGGTCATACAAGATTCTGAAACGCAAGTAATATTACACGCTTGTCGTACTCTTGAAATTATGGCTGGATGCCTCGTAAATGTAGACTCTGAGAATGATAATGCCTCAGTTTTCTGGTGTATTATATTCGAACCCATAACATCACTCCTTCAACATCCACAGACTATATTAAGGGAAGCTGCATGCGATTGTTTAGGTAGCATTAGTCCCATTGTACTTACCCAACTGTCGGTAAGTGGTTGGCATAACAATTTGAATAATATATATTGTAGCTTCTTTATTAATTATTTTGTAAATATTTCTAGAGACAAAAGACAGTTTTAATCATCACGGTGCTATTTGGAGCGGTACACGATGAAGAAAGTGCTGTAAGAGCTGCTGGATTACGAGCATTAGGAATGTTAGTCACTTTACCTCCGCTGAAAGAGGAAACTGGATTTTTAATGGATTTAGCTGATATAGTTTGTTTGGCTGCTGATGATACAAATCTTGGCGTTCGCATTAAAGGAGCCTGGGCTTTGGCTAATTTATGCAATTGCCTTTCCAAAGAAAAGTTAGTTACAAGAATATCTTGATTTTAATATTTCAACTTGATAGCAAACTTACGATCTCTTATGAAGTATGTATTGATTATTATGTATTACAATTTTTAGGATACTCATGCAATTTTCGTTACAGAAATGATGAAGTAGAACCACTCCCTCTGGAAGTTCTATTGCCGAAACTTTATCAAGTCAGCATTAAAGCATCCAAGGATAATGATAAAGTGAAATGTAACGCAGTTCGAGCTCTTGGAAGTATTCTGCATTTATGTCCTGACAAGCATGTATTAAATGACACGATATCAGGATTGGAGGCTCTCATAAATTGTGCCATTTTAGGGAATGATATGAAAGTAAGTGAAAATACTATTACGTGTCTTAATAAATGATTTAATTTATTTAGCATACTCGATCATCCTTACAATTCTATACAAAATTAATTCTTACTTATTATCTTACAGTATAACATTTTTATATATTTTTATTTAATATAAACGTTTTAACATAATTAATTTTTCTTCCACATACAATATACTACAATTTTTGTTACTGGATATTAAAGGTGCGTTGGAATGCCTGTCGAGCCATAGGATTGGTTTTAAGTAACAATCCAGATGATATATTACCACCTTCTTGGCGGGTACGTAATTAATGAAATAAATTTTGTATTACTGTTTCTTTTTCTTATCGGATATAATATAAATTCACTATTTTAATAGGACCAAGTATTTCCCGTATTATGTAACTTAATATGCAACAGTCCGAACTTCAAAGTTCGTACTAATGCAGCATGGGCATTATACACTTGTAATTCTTACGGAAAATATTCTGCAACTTTATGGAAGAGCATTGTTTTAGCATTTGAAAATTCTCAGCACGTGCCAAGCTACATCGAGTATCCCCATCGCGACGCTCTTGTTCAGCAAGTAAGTGAAATCAGTAGCATACATATCGTCATCATCACGTAATTATGATTGCAGATATTAAATATTATTACGATTTTTACAGCTGTGCCTTACACTTAGTCATCTAGCTGCTTGCACCGAGGTATCAGATTTACAAAATCTTTGGATAGAGATCGGCGATCATGTAGATGATATTTCTAATTACATTAAACAGTTCCAGGTACAATGATTTAGTGTATCATTATTATTAGGTATTCCAAAAATACAGGAAACCTAGCTTTTATTTAATATGTTTCTATTTTAGGAAACTATCGTGCCCGAAAAAATTGGGGATTTAATAAAAGCTAAATCACAGTTGCAAAAATATGTGAAGAATGCTCCTTTATTGCAAGAACGAAAGATTGCTCAAACTTTGGCAAGCATTTTTGAACGAACTACGCGATACGATAGTCTGGATGTCGCTACTCCAATATTATGATACATAGAATTATTAAAGGGTATAAAATGAGCTATACATTAATGTGAATGTAAAATACGAAACATGTAAAATCACTTACTATTATATACAAATTATATAAATTTTTCGGTAACATGAATGCCGATGTCTAAATCATACATTTAACAACCACTCAAGTTGTATAAAATAGAATAATTTTATTAGATTTACATTTTTCTTTTCACTACCTTGGCTGTCTCGACTTTTACATATATATATACAATAAAATTTTATCTGTCATTTTCATTGTTGGACACTTCACTATTATTAACAATTTCAGAGTCGTCATTTTTGATATTACAATCGTCTTGCAACTGTAATTCATGACTTTGATTCATGCTCTTCTCATCTATACTTTTATTCGTACTTAACGCTGATGTTTGTACTGTTTCGTTATTTTTAACTTCATTATCTTTAGTTTCATTAGTAGTGACGCTTTCGTCTTCATTATCATTTTTTTCATCTGTCTCCTGTTCACTGGAACTCTGTTCCGAATCACTGTCCTCATTTTTCTTATGTTGGTCTACATTTGCCACTTTAATTCGTTTCTTTTGCTTCCACTTTTGCTTCTTCTTTAGTCTCTTAGCTCTCTTTTTTGCTGTTATTTCATCTGCAATCTTTTTATTCTCTTCCAGTTTCTTGTGATACTCAGCATCCAAAAGTTCCTAATAAACATATCGTTGAATGAAAATTACATTAACTTATATTAAAATGTTGAGCTCCTTGTATAAAAAAAATGTATATTGTGTTTAATTTACCTTACGACCTATTTCCTGAATAAATTTTTGTCGCGCATATTCTTTACGTCGTAAGTGTCTATACACATGAAATTCTCCGCTACCTGCACCTGCACTACTTCCCATAACATTCCGAACAAACTCTGGTACTGTTGGTGTATTCTTAGTTTTAGGTCGTTCTGGTAATACAATAGGTTTCTCCTATAACCAAATTTGATATTGTTTTCTTATAAAAGTAAATTTATAGGAGAAGAGAAAATAATTGCATAAGTTTATTAAATACTGATTCGAATATAGAATAAAATATGACAATAAAGCTCTCTTTTTTTAACTTGTCAGACTTACAGGATTTTTCATCAACTTTTGAAGTTTCAATCGCTGCAAATCGATTGCACTCTTTGCAACAATTGGCTTTTCTTCGTCTGTTTCTTTATTCTCAGGCATATTAATTTATATAGTAAATATTATAACACCTTTGCTATCTTTTTAAAACATTAATAGGTTATGTGCATGACAACAAAAGTGAACATGCAAGATACAAAAATCGATACGTCCAACCATATCGATTCTATACATATATAGAGAGAGCGCACAACAATTGTATAAAGTTAAAACAATTAATTGTTTAAATAATATTCAAGAAATGCCCATATTTTACTATAAATACTCTTTATTACGATATTTCTGATTAATACAATTTTTTATCTAACAATCGTATACAGAGTGTCCCAAAAATGTTATAACACCTTGAAAGGGGTGGTTCGAGAGGTGATTTGAAACAACTTTTTCCTTAGCGAAAATGTCCGAGGCTTCGTTGAGGAGATATTAACGGAAAACACTGACCAATCAGAGCGCGAGTATGCCAATGGAGCCCCCGCTGATTGGTCAGTGTTTTCCGTTAATACCTCCTCAACGAAGCCTCGGACAATATTTTTGCTAAGGAAAAAGTTGTTTCAAATCACCTCCCGAACCACCCCTTTCAAGGTGTTACAACATTTTTGGGACACCTTGTATATGCACACACATATGTTTTTTGTTGTTTTTCAATATTTCGTTTTATTTGTTCAATTAATTAATCGTAGCTTATATTGTCCATTGAATTTTCATTGTTTAATAACTTTTTTCATTTTAATCGTGCATATATTTAATAAAACAACTCAAAGGAAATGTACAAGAATGTATTTTTAATGTTTTCAACGTTGTTGATTTCAAGACACATTCTATTTCAAAGAATGTTAATTAAAATGTTTAGTATGTGAGAATTAACGATGCAGAATTAAAACCAATATGTAAAATATAAAAACTCGATGAAAATTACTACATATTTTTTAAATTTTCATATATTCATATATATATATATATATACATCGTGTAAAGGCAATATGTGTAAAGTATTTAGTTTGAGAAAAATTAGCGACAAGTTACGGATAAAAATAATTTTCTAACGATAGAGAAGCGGACAAAAATAAAAGTCTGTTTAGTGAAATTTTGCTTTGGTGACAGCCGTGACAGTAACAATGACATGTTACTAATAATTTCAAAGCGATCCTGTTGGTAACAGTAATAGTAGCAGAAGGCTTTCAATATTGACGCACATTGACGCTTATCGAGAATCTCGTAATCGTCGAAGACTGAAAAACTCTGCTGTCAAATTCAAAGTGATTTTTTCGGGGGAAACATCTCACTGCAATTACTCGTGAAACAATGTCAGATACGATAATAGACGAAAGGTAATTTTCTGCAAGCTTCTACTGTTAACGTTTCTCGTGGCCATAGAATTGTCTAAATATTTACGAGGATTTTTCACAGAGTAACTGACGAAATTGAAGCTTTACGGGCGATTCTACTCGACGACGAGTTGAATATCAAAGAAAATGACAGGCAAGTATATTTCATAGTAAATGTAGTATTTGTAACCTTATCAGAGAACCAATTTAATTGTTATTCGAACGTTTTATATTCTCAGAAGTCTTGTTAAAAGTTTGTACAGATTTTTAGTTTATTCGATACCAAGAGTAGCTTGTTTCCTCGACTATATTTGTCAGTTAAATAAATATCAAGTGTAAAACATTTTTACAGAACCCATTTTGGAAATATATCAGAGTTATACTAAATACTTGTTGAAATCAAAGGTGTACTTATATACAAAATATAGAAAGAAAACAAATTAGTTTGCATATCATTATTATGCTATAACAAATGTCTTGCGTACCTTTAACAATGTTTTCATAGTTGGGCATACAATGATACAGAATACCATTATGATGTACAATTAAAAACATTATGCCACACCCAAAATTACATGCTTGTTACTTTTAATTTACTTTGATAATGCAAAACATTAATTTGGTAAAAAAAATCTGTTGTCCATATATAATTATATGTAGGTTTCCTTTATGGATATATGATAAAAATGAATATTCTTTCAGAGGTGAGCCAGAATGTATTGAAACAGTGTTATTTCCTTCGACTGGTGAAGACTCTCAATCGCAATATGTTTGTGTAACGCTAATTGTTCAATTACCCACGGGATATCCTGACACATCACCTACTATTAATCTTAGAAATCCCAGAGGATTGGACGAAGAAACAGTGAGGCTGATGCAATCGGATGCAGAAGCAAAGTGTAAAGATTTTATAGGGCAACCAGTCATGTTTGAACTCATTGAGGTATGTTAAATATATATCATCATAGACATAGCAACAAATATTTTGTATAGAATGTTATCCCACATGTATACCATTTTTGTGATAGTTAATAAGGGAACATCTTACAAGGAGCAATCTTCCTACGGATCAGTGTGCCATATGTCTCTATGGTTTTCGAGAAGGGGATGAATTCACAAAAACGGAATGCTACCATTATTTTCATTCGCACTGTTTGGCAGCACACGTTGCAGCTACGGAACGATATTATAGAGAAGAACAAGAAAAACTGCCACAGTGGCAACAAGATTCTACTAATAAGTTCCAGGTATAATTATACTACTTTCAACATTTAGTATAATTGTTCAAGTTGCACAGCATTAATGGATTTTTCAGGCCATATGTCCCGTATGTCGAGAATCGATCAATTGTGACGTCGATAATCTATGGACTGCACCACCTCCAATCGACGTTGAAGCCGCAACAGATTTTTCAGTTACTGCAGAATTGAAAGAACTGCAGAAACAAATGGCAGCATTGTTCCTAAGGCAACAACAGAGGGGTGGAATAATTGATTTAGAAGCTGAAGGTGTAAAAACGCTGGTAAGAACAGAAGATGAGTCTGGTGCTACTACAGAAGGACTCAATCCACCAGGGACTAGTTTGAATGCATACTCGAATCAAACTGTGCAACCTGTTCACTCGATGGTATGTTTGAACATTTATGATAATAGTATTGCAACAGTGAAATAACATTACGAGAAATCTTATACATTTAATATCCCTGAGAATAAATCCTTGAACTTCGAAGTTTCCTAATATACATGATCGGTTTCATCGAGGAATACGTTTAATATATTTTTATAAAATATATTTCAATAACAAAGTGTTTTCTTTAGCAATTGCCGCAGACAAAGCAGCCCTCGCACCAAACGCAAAATCATTCTCATTATCAATCGCGTCAATTACATAATAATTATCATGGGCATAATAATCACGGACATCGAAATAGAGGTCGTGGACGAGCTCATTACCGTCGCCAACTTGACAAAGTTAGACAAACGGAATCTACTCCCAGATGACAATGGGTTCGAGATAAACTGTTTACTGTCTGGTCTATAATTTCGCTAAGTGTACACAATATGATTAACATGAGTAGTATAATTATTAATGTATTATATAATAACTGTTCAATTTCGAATCACTTTCACGTGATAAAGTTATAGGTATTGTCGTTCGGCAACATTCCCGTTGTAACGATGTACGAGGCGTGTTGAAACTTCCGAGGTCTATCTGTGTAGACTGAAGCCATGGTGCTCTTTTTAAACGATCGCAATCGTACAAAGTTCATTGGTTTCTTTTTTTTTTTATATAGGTGTGTATACAGAGCTATAACTATTATAGCGAATTATAAACAAAAAGAAAAGAGAAGGAAATACGCAATCAAATGTTACACTAAAACTATTTTATACCAGTGGTTTAGAATGTAATAATGTAGGAGCATACAAAAAAATAATACGTATCATTTTTATTATGTAGTTTTTACAATCATATTTGAGTGCGCTTCTCGATTTATAATACTCATCTTCGCGTTATCACGTATACCAATAATATTATAGGTCGTGACATATAACAGAGCAGACATGGATCAGTGTTTAAACAGATAATAACTTAACTTTTAAAAGGAACGAAAATTTAACGCGTACATTCGCAGGCAATGTAAATCTTTAGAAAAAAAAATATGTAATGCTATTATATCTCAAGTTTAACATACGAAATATACCTTTCAAGAGTTGGGAATTTTGGTTTAATGCATGAATCAACCACTACTTCTCGAAAAATGTTTTTTCTTCGTTTTTGTATTGGCATATTTGGTCGAGAACGAGATTTATTGTAAATATTTCTTTATTGTATGAAAACAAGGGTACTATTAATTTAAAAAAAAAAAAAACATTTTTACAATTGTGTTACTTCTGGAAGGATACAAAAATATAATAAGACCAAAATTAAAAAGTAACGAAAATTAATCATTCCAGTATGAATAAATGAAATCATTGGTTTTATTTATTTCTTATAAAAGCAACTGTATTATGTTATAATTTAGATATTATTAAGACTGTTGTAATCTAAAAAAAATAACTAAAATAGCAAGCACTTTTACAACACATAGAAAAGTTTCAATGTTTGCAAAGTCGTTTAAGTTAATAGGCTAATGACTCTCTACTATTTTAAATGAAGAAGAAATGAAATAGTTAACGACTATGTGATTTTACGTATATTTTGCAAATAGTAGTTTTTAAGTTAAGGATTCTATTTCATTTGACAGTATATATTAATATTAAATACCTTTATTTCGAAAATACAGGATTTCGTTAATTCGTGCAATTTATTTACAGCTTCTAATGAAACATAAGACTATCCTAATAAAATTTATTGATGTGAGAAATATTATTATTAAATTTATAATTATAGTATTGTGATGTAAATATTCATTGCATATTTATTTATTTTTTGTATACATTAAAGTAAAATTATTCGTTTTTATTGAAATATTTTTCTTTGCTAAATTTTTTTTTTCTTCAATATATGTATACATGGTGGGCCTTTTAGAAATAGAAACACAGAATCTATCTCCATTCCTTATACATGTTATACAACAGTTCGAAGGTCACGTATATTATTTTTAAAGGCACCTTAAAAAAAAAGTTTTATCATTTTCATTATATCCATTTTAATTTTAATTTTTTCCAAGAATCTTTTATTTAACTGAATATACCTATCAAAAGAGGGTAACTTTATTGTTTCTTTCTTATTTTACATCATATTCGTCTGTGATACTTTGAAACGGAAAACTATAATTCAGTTTTTTACTGTACTAATTTTATAAATATGTATATACATAAATAATTTTTATCCTAAAAGTTGAAAGACAAAACGATCATTGTACATTTAAGACTGCAGAAATTTTACAGTATCGATTTTCCTTTCTTATAGGAATTCTTTTACAAAAATGTTTTATAAATGCAGCAGTAAAAACTAAGTTTTCCATAGATAAAATTGTAATGTAATTCGAAATAGAGTTACTTATAACAACCTCTACTGTGTTCTTGATATTACGTATGCGTAAAATGTAATAAACAGGTTAATTTAGCAATTTATTAACTCAACTCCAAACTTTTGTTACTAATTATAATTTGTAATATATTTATTCTATTACTTTATAATTCTTATAATTTTTTACCATCAGAATGCTTAGTTTAGTTTTAAAATGCAATTGTTTGAACATTTGTTTTAACATAATATTATTATTGTGCATCGATTAATAAATAAATATATTACTTTCGTGTCGTATTGATTCACAGTGTACAGTTAATTTTAATAAAACATTCGTCAAAGTATGAATATTTTCGATTTATTATTTTTATATTTGTAACAATTATAATATTTAATATAATTCAACATATTTACAATTCATGACCTTTTAATAATTCACTTATTAATTACTGAATTAATAAATAATTTAAAATCAAGTTTACAACTACATATATTAAATATAAGTATAACAGACATTTTACACTTGTCTTATCCATTCACCATATATTATACATTTCCAAATACTTCATTAGTTAAATACCATTTGAAATAATACTACATACCATAAAAAAATAATTAATACTGAGTAAGGGAATGTAATACTATGCAATACATTGTTTTCTTAGTTCGTTAAGCTTTAGTTGTAAATGATCGAGCTCTATTTGTATCGGTTTACAAAAGTCTTTACTTCTCAATAGAACACTGGAAGCTGTATTTAATAATATTGGATTAATGGAACTTGGCGATGGAATGTCTATAGAAATAGAACTGACGGAACTACTATCACCGTAACCTTCATCGATACTTTCGTCCGAAGTTTTTGTTAGTGCCTTCAATTGATCTTTTAAATCCTATAAAAAAGAAACCTTTTAGTATGTCTTAATGTTTAACAACAGTAACATATATGTATATGTAATTATGATAATTACTTTGTTTCTTATAAGAACTTGCTTTAGACACTCGTGCAAGGAAACATCTGTCTTGTTTTTCTGAAAAAAAAATGATACAATAATTATTTATTATACCTGTAATGTATTTAGATTCGAACAAAGTGAATTATCCCTTCTTACCATGTCATTTAAATATCCTTTCGCTTGTATGCCACACAACTTGTTCTCTAAACTTTTAACTCTACGTTTTTCTTGCCTAAGTCTCTTGATCAGCGCGCTGTTAGCTTCGTAAGATAATGTTTTTAAGCGTTTATTTTCATTTATCACATCTTGCATAGAATTTAGTTTTTCTTCTGCCTCTATATTCTTTGATTTCAGAAGCTTATACTGTGCAATCATCTTTGTTAATTGCAGTCGTAACTGGAAAATCGCATCTTCTATCTGGCTTTGTTCCTGTTTGGAAGAAAGCAGAGTAGTCTGCAATGTTTCATTTTCAGATTTCAACTTTTGCATTTCGAGTTGCGTCTTGCGTAGCACGTCAGCAGTTTGATTTTTCTCGCTTTCACATTTCTGCATATTTTCTTTCATAGTTGTAATCAAAGTGTTTTGCTTAGTCAAAGTGTTTTCCATCAACATTTTGGAAACTTCATTACCTAAAAAACGCTTTTCTAATGTTTTTAGCTCTGCCTTTGTATCTCGCAGTTCATCCTCTGTTAACTCTAGCTTTGTCGACATATCTGGAGGACTAAAGGATGAAATGTTATCCAGCGTTTCTGTAATACTGTTTGATTGTTTCTGTGTCCTCAAATTTTGTAATTCATACTCCAAATCGTGCTTCTCCTTTTGATGCTTTTGAAGAAGATCATTGTAATCCATGTTTAATTGTTTGTACTTAGCACTTATATTTACTATAGTTTGTTGCCTTTGCTGCAGTATTCCTTGATAAGTATCTATCTCTATTTGTAAAGTTTTTTTGTTTGCTTGCAAGCCATGCACTTGAGATTGATACCATTTCGCAGATGCCTGTGCTGCTTCCAAACGATTATTTGAATCTGCCAGAGTATTTTGTAATTTATGTTTTTCCTGAATCACCAACTGCATTTCTACATACAAGTCTGTAATTTTTCCTTTCAGGCCCTCATTTGCTGCAATTCTGGCATTAAGTTCAATACGTAAATTTTCCAGATCAACCCTGAGCCGTTCGTTTTCTAATTCCAATAGTGCAACACGTTTTGACAATTCTATATTGGAAACATCAGGTGTCGATAAATGTCTGATATGAAATTCATCGGTTATTAATTGCAGGGAGTCTGTTGATGTAATGGAGTCCAGCTCCCCTTTAAATGAATCAGACAGATTGTCCATTTTTCCAAGTTATACAGAAATTTTAAATATGATTAGTCCGAGCCTTTCATAAAATTCTCTTTTATTAAATGCATGATATTATTGGTAAGTTAAAAGATAATTGTAAGTTACAATTATACAATGTTAGAAAGTATTAGCAGATTCTTGTTCTTGGTTCAGTACTTTCCTTTTTATTTTGTATAAAGTGCATTCGCTATACATGCTACATTTCCTGAAGCATTTAAACGTCTTCCATATGGTAGGATCAAGAAATATTAAGTATAAAGATTAATAAACATATGCAAAACGTACGAGATTTCAGTTGCTTATATGTCACTTGTCATCTTGCATTTACTCGAAAATGCAAATGTGTGTATATAGTGCGCTCACATGTATGTACATACCTACTTGAGTATGTACTTGATACAGTTACAAATTCTTATGCATTTCTTATGCATTTAAGTATAGATGTCAGAATTCATTTATTTCCGAAAAAAAACGCTCAACAATTATCGTGTAACTTTACAGAAGTGGACATTACGATCCACGATCACAGAATAACACTCTCTATGTGTTGTCATACTAAAAATCACGATCGTATCGCGAGAAACATCATGTTATCGAACAGTAGCCTATTGTTGGTGGTAACTACTTTATAGATAACCATAGATAACAGTAGATAGCTGAAGAACTTAGAGCTGGGTAAATATCCATAGAACATTGAACTGTGATTGACGCGCGAAACTTTTGAATTAAAAGCTTGTTTTACAAAAATTTGGAGGTACAGGGGATTTATTTTGTAGAACGAGAAACGATAAAGGAATCGTTTAGTAGTTATTGTAAAAGTAGTAGTACTTCAGGGTCTAGCGATCTCGAGGCATTCGAGCTTTAGTCCAACAGACATTTTTCGACCAAACGTTACTACTTTTTGGAATAATTTTTCCCTCAAAATTGCTACGTCATACTAAAATAATAGTAGAAACGTCTGTAAAATTTCAAATTAAAATCTTGCATACTTTTTTCAAACAAAAATGATAAAGAAACCACTTCTTGAAGCCTGAGAAAAATCAATTCTCCTTTAAGAGGGGAAATAGAGAGAGGAGAAGCCTTGTAATAATGTAAAACAAGAGTTTAATGAATTAGATGTAAAAGGTGAAAATAGATCCGCGGTATATCTACTATTTTCTTTATTTAAACCGAAATTGTACAACTAGTATCGGTTAAACTTTCAAATTTCGCTCCTACTCGAATGTCTCGTCGGGCTATTCTTAACGTCGGTAACGTATCTAGTACGATGATAAAACTCCCGGTCTTGGTCACGCCAAAAAAAATACAAGTGAGAACGATTAGAAGAATGGACGAATTTGTCCATTGTCGCTCAGTAGCACTTTATTATTATTATTTACGGCTGAACTTTGTCTCAGGGACCCATTTTTTTTTTGTTAAAACTTATCAAATCTTATAGTTTTTGACCTGAAAAGTCCGAAAATGCAAGTTAAAAGTTTAGGAATCCAATAGTTTAAAAGATTTACAGTACTATCACATAAACATCATAGATTCTCGAGATTTTTATTTTGTTAAATTCAAGTCCTGCAAGTTTTGATAAAAATCGTCATGGCCGGGGGGGAAAGTGAACTACCCTTGCTTGTAACTACAGCACTGCGACCTTAGCTTCTTTCGACGCACATGCGCAAGCGGGCGCAGGACTTTCCATCAAAGAACATGATTTTAAAGCCACGTTTACACGATAGTACAAGGTGTCCCAAAAATGTTGTAACACCTTGAAAGGGGTGGTTCGGGAGGTGATTTCAAACAACTTTTTCCTTAGCGAAAATGTTGTCCGAGGTTTCGTTAAGGAGATATTAACAAAAAAATCCCGACCAATCAGAGCGCGAGTATACCGGTTGAGCGTAGGTTGCGCGATAGGCGGCCGCGCTCATATGCTATACGCGGGCGCTCCAACGGTATACGCGCGCTCTAATTGGTCGGGGTTTTTTGTTAATATCTACTTAACGAAGCCTCGGACAACATTTTCGCTAAGAAAAAAGTTGTTTCAAATCACTTCCCGAACCACCCCCAGTTTCAAGGTGTTACAACATTTTTGGGAGACCCTGTATATTACATTATACCACAAGATGGCGTCATCGTCGTATTAAATACAAGTCCAAACAGAGATGGCGATCTCAACAGCGCGCATGGTCGTTCGTCGTCTTTGGATTAAGGGTGGGTCTGTTCCTTTTGCGGGAGGGGTCGTATAAACGAATGCAAGTACAAGAAAATAAAAAGTACGGTAGCATTCACATAGGACTAATTCGCGCATCGTTCGATTTCGCGAACGGCAACATCGAGGGCTACAGTGACGAAATCGAACAATCGTGTTCAGTGGTTATTGACAGCGCGGCGGTGGACAAAGCCTATCCGGTGGATGGAGTTCTCTACGGCTCGTGCTGTCTTTCCCTAATTCCCAGTTTCCCCCTTCGTTCGACCCGATTCCCCATAAAGATTCAATCCCCTATACACACACTCTAGTCGCTCCCGTTCATGGCTGCGGCCTGGGGTGGGGGAAAACAAGCTGTATAACGACGTAAAATTTCGAAGCTTGTATGCAGGAATATGTCAAGTTTAAAAATCGGTAAGTCGGTGTTTATTTCATTTTTTTGAACGATAATAGCAGTGAGTTTATCATAGTTAACGGATAATGAGATAAGCGGCTGAATTGATTCGCGCTAGTCGTTGCCCCCTTGCATTCAACACGCTTCTACTTTGCTTTCGTAGTATGGTAGACAGTAAGGCAATGAACGTACCCTATATACGTGCTTCGAAAGTTACCGATTCCCGTTCGAGGAATGCACCGAAACCAATCGAGAGATACTCATTCGATTCATAGGTCCATTACGCGGTATATTTTATATTGTAAATAATTCACGTTGCGCGACATGTTCGCGTGTTTTATTCAATGGTTGTGTCGTATGACATTTACCGAATTTAACAGTACACAAATTGGAGTTGCGACGATATTATGCGTATAAAAGATTATTTTTATTTTGTTTCTCTATATAGGCCCTTCCAGGTATTTCTCTTAATTTAGTAGATTATTGAATGGTATTTCGCGTTTGTTTGTTTCATAGATGTTTGTTTTTTTTTTTTTTTATTGTTTTAATCGTTGCGATTGTTGGTACGATATAGTGCAAATTGCTTAATTTTTACTTAAGTAATTATAATTTTGGTATTCTATCTATTCTCTGAATAGCTTTTGTTATCGTGTATTGGAGTAGATTAAAGTATTTCAGGCTTCTCATCAGAAACACGAACTATTTCATTACTTGTGACTTCTGAAATACTGTTGTTAATACGATGTAGAATGTATATGTAACTTCCTTAACTTTTCATTATTTTATTAATTGAAATACATTTTACAGTTATGTCTATATACTTTTGTATTTTGTGTGTTTTCTTTGAGTATGCATATTACATATATTCTGCTTTCTTGGCAACAAATTTTGTTTAGAAGTTTTAGTTTTCAACAGATTTTTACATTTAATGTCATCCACACCAGTTTCATTTGGTTTAGGTTTTACTGTCAGTCAGTTTCTCAAAGTTTAACATCATTTCTGGATAATACTGTATTAATAGACCTACCAATATCTTATCTTTGATAAAATATATTTTAATATTTTATTAACCAATCATTTTTAATAATTTCATGCATATATATTGACTTAGTTTGTATCATTACATCCTTTCAATGTTTTCTAATTAAGATTCCAGAAATGATTATGCGATACAAAGATTTCAAATAACGCACAGATGTGCTTTATACTCTCGATAAAATTTACGACTTACAACTTAGTTTATAGCAAAATATATAAAAGAAAGTTGAATTAGGTATCTTAGTTACTTTAATAAAAGTACAGTGAATAGTTAATATTAGCGAATCAATGTTTATTATATTGTTTAAAAGAATAAATAAATTAGAAATTTTGATTTCATAGTCACTGATAAAACTTATATATATTAAGGGTATATAGGAGTCTGTATGGTACAGATAACTTGCTTGATAAGACAAATTTTAATGTGGAACTGCTTATATATTATTTTCAAAGCTTGAAACTAAATTTAAATTTATGAATATAAATTATTTCTATTTTTAGAGTCCTATACGTCCTTAGATACAAACAAGTATAACATTAAAGTTAAAATTAAGTAGAGATATAATGTAGTGTTTCTAATATTGTGATACATCAAAAGTTTATAGTTTTACAGTATTTATTACGTGAAGAGTTAATGATTGTTATTTCATTTTTCCTGAAGTGTTGGTAATGCATTTGCTTGCCCTACCCTCAAGAACGATGGACTCTGAGCAAAGAAATCAGCAGGTGTATCAACACTAAACAAAAAAAGCTAAAGAATGAATGCCTGCTGCACTCACGCTGCCAACACAGTACAAGCAGACTTAAGATTTATGCAAGTAGTGCGTGAGTAGCAGCTACTCACGCCACACTCAGACGTATATATCTGTTTTCGCACATGGCAGCCATGAAGCATGGTACGTTTTATTCTTGTATGCTTTGCTTTGTATGTAAATTTGTTTCAACAGCCATTTCTGGTATACTTTCTCGAAACAGAGTAGTTCAGTGATATATTCTTTAAAGTGTACTTCCAAATATATATTTTATATGAATTTTGAAATACACTATAGTAATTAGGCTGCATATGTTACGGTATGCTGTATCTTACGTGATGTTTAATTTTTACCTGAGTCAACAAATTGCGTTTAATGGCCAACATTAAACTGTTGTGCACAATGATTTGAATAAGTTGAAGTAATGTATACAGGTTTAACAAGGATAATACAATTAAATGGTATGCGATTTTAAATACAAAATCTGGAGCAAAATTCTTTTTCTACAAAGCTATCCTCTTATGCATAATTCTTTGTACAAAAAGATATTCTATATTTTTAATTCATCTTTGTATATAAAATCATATCTTTTCCAATTGTATTATTCATCGTGGAACATTCTACTTAAAACGACTGATTTAACAAATTTACTATATCTCAAATACAGATTATGTGATTAAATGTTATATTATTAAGATAAATATAAATAAATTGTAAACATAAATATTATGTGCTTTAATGTATTTTTACTTTTATACTTTATTAATAATTTCATGTATTGATATTACTGAAATATATCCTTCATAATAATACTTAATACTAATGTTTATTCATTTTTTAAATGCTAACTAGATTGCGGATTATTTCATTATACACAGTAATATTCTGATATTCTCCAAGATAACTATCATCTCTTGCCTGTACTTACAGAATACAAACAATAGACTACAACTTATCAACGAGCACAATAGCTTCATGCCATTTATATATATATCATAGTGCTACAGTTACACGATACAGCAGATTTTGTATTATACTGTATTTAGAATTTTCTGAAATTTTGTTGGAATTATCTCTTTCCTCTTTAGTTGCATATATAGTTTTAAACAGGCTTTCATTTGTATATGTGTTATATGGTATTAGTTTTATTTCCATTGTATGCTTAAATAGTAAATATAAACAACTTTCGGATTCCAATCTTATTATTTCCCTATTATATGGATTCAAGTGTTTCTTATTGTTATCTGAACGCTAGAATGATTATTAATAATATTCGTTAAAATTTCTATCCTAGAAAAGTATCAGATTGTTGTTTAACTAACTAGTGTCTAGAGTACCACAGTACTCTGAAGAAATGTAATTATAATAATTTTCAGGCAAGACAAGTCAAGACGACGTATGTTATGTTGTCGCCAAATATGATTACGGAGCACAGGGTGCTCAGGAGTTAGACCTACGTAAAAACGAACGTTACTTGCTCCTTGATGACTCCAAACATTGGTGGAGGGTACAAAGCGCAAGAGGGCAAGCTGGCTATGTACCAAGTAATTATGTCAAGAAAGAAAAGCCATCCCTTTTTGATAGTATCAAGAAAAAAGTCAAAAAGGGCTCTGGTTCAAAGACTCTACCATCTAGTAATTCACCTTCTAGAGCCGTGGAATCTCCTATCATGGCTAGGCGTCTACCTGCTGATCCTAGCGAAGCGATAGGCACGGCAGTTGTCAAATATAATTACCAAGCACAACAGGCAGATGAACTGTCACTCGTCAAAGGCACTAGAATCCTAATATTAGAAAAGAGTAACGATGGCTGGTGGAGAGGTCAAAGCGGCACTCAAGCTGGCTGGTTTCCGTCAAATTACACGCAAGAAGAGGGTGATGCGGACGATACTCTTCACACATACGCAATGGCAGAGAATGTTCTTGACATTGTCGTGGCCCTTTATTCATTTTCTTCTAACAATGATCAAGAGCTGTCCTTCGAGAAGGGTGATCGTTTAGAAATCCTTGATCGTCCACCAGCCGATCCTGAATGGTATAAAGCAAGGAATAGCCAAGGACAAATTGGTCTCGTGCCACGTAACTATCTCCAGGAACTCAGCGAGTATTTGACACAACCATATCGTGAGCGAGGAATGACGAGTAGTGAAATTAGTACAGGAGACTCCCTCGAGAGAAGGCCAGACCCTGGCGATAGACCACATCTTGTTGGGAAACCTTGGTATTATGGTAGTATTTCACGCTCGCAATGTGACACATTGCTAAATCAACATGGTCATGACGGCGACTTTTTAATCAGAGATAGCGAAACAAATGTACGTATAAATGAAAATGTTACACGTCTCGTAAAATAGCTCGCTTAAAAACTTTTGAAATACGATAAGTCTTTCGCTTAGGCGGTTAATTCGTTCTAATAATAAAGAAAGATATGATATTTGCCCAAAAAAGAAACGTGGAAAGTATGAACTTGATCTTGCTTACAAAAATTGATAGTCGCAAGGCTTACAAGGGCCAGCTACAGCATCTAATATTGGGTTAAATAGATATTTCTCTATATAACGAAAACTTTGTTCAATACGTAAATGCATACTATATGCATAGAATATGTATAAGCATAAAATTTTATTTGAATAATAGACGAGGAACCGAAACCGTGTACCAATTTCTCGCAATGTTTATACGATTAAACTGTTATTCAGATAAGCTGTTATCAGTCCATACATAATACGGTTACACAATATAGATTGTAATTTTTATTAAACAAATAACGGATCAAAAATTGTTTATCTTTTGGGGACAGAAGGAGTAGAACCGCATAACTCGAGGACTTATTGTATACCAAAGTGGCGAAGTATTTCAGTTTTAATTGAATTAAAAATATTGTAACTTTTAGGTTGGAGATTATTCAGTATCTTTAAAAGCTCCAGGACGTAACAAACACTTTAGGGTACACGTGGAAGGAGCGCTATACTGCATCGGTCAAAGAAAATTCCATACGTTAGACCAGTTGGTAGACCATTACCAACGAGCGCCTATTTATACTAACAAGCAGGGTGAGAAGTTATACTTGGTGCGCCCATTGCCAAAAGGCAACCCCAGTAGCAATGGCTGCTAGGTGAATTCGTGCCATGAAACGGTCCATGCGCTTTGAAATGTATCTATGAGATACGCGACGCCTGCCTAGTAATATCAATATCACACAATCTCGTATGTTTATACATAACAATTAACATAATTGGTGAACTCATATATTAGTGTTTCCTGATTGTTTGTCCATTTACACTGATAAATAATTTATTACTCTAAGTAATTGCCACCCAGCAATTCTTACCATTCATTGGAGCTTCCAAACTATTTAGCGAACAAGGCTAAAAGAAAGCTAAGAGACGAATAAAAATAAAACATTTGTACGGCAGCTATACGACATTTTGACTAGTTGACACACAAGGCTTCTCTTTATATCCATATGTAATTGTAAAACACAACCGACCATGTTATTACGATTAATAATATATTTACAACTACACGTAACGTAGACTGCAAGTGTAACAATGAAATAACGGTTAATTATCACCCAATTATGACCGATTAAGTGGATCTCTACTCTAAATCTATTGGTATTGAATTATGACAAAGACTAAGTGTTCATTTGTGATTTTGTATTTATTAGAAATTTTTAAGTAAATAAACTGTATTTAAGTGTGCATCAGGTACAATATAGTTCTTTTCGCAATCCCGTGTTTACTACGTGTTTATTATTATTACATGGAGTTTGCGAAAGCCCGTTTTATTTTATAAATTGAAAACGTTCTAATAACGAATTTAACGTATTTGAATACTTTTGCTGCTCATATTTATAATATATAGATATTAATATTTTTCAATGTTTCTTATCGAATTGGCTTTTAAAATAGAAAAATCGTGTAGAAAACATTTTACCAGATACAAAGACATGAATACTTATAAAAAGTAATGCAGTCAAATTAAATTGTACAAACAGAGAATGATTATAGTAGATATAATACTCACATAGTTGGTAACAAATATTAATCTTTATTTAACGTGTATATTATATTCATAAATAAAAGTATTATTTAGTTATATGAATAAGAGATTGGTGCTCCTGGGGATAAAAGTTAATGGCACTAATTGCCAATAAGGTCACGTATATAAACAATTGTCCTAATCTAAACATATTTTAGGTCTGCATTATTTGTTCGTAACTCCATTAAAAGCTTATGCTTACTTAATCATAAGAAAGGATTGTTCGAATTTCTTGTCATGTTGCTCACACCAGAACCAACCTGAAAAATCTTATGTTTAAATGCATCTAAGAGATTGAAAAAGAAAATGAAAGGAAAACTGAATATGTACCATAAAAGGATTTGCATGATATGCTGGAAGAGTGGGTTGCCACACTTTGTTCGTCATTAATTGACTAAACTGAATTACATCTCTGTTACCTGACAGGTCCAGCGTCGACGGTCCGATACCTACCCATTGGGGATCTGAAATAATTATACTCTTTAATCTGTTGTTATGTTTTAATGTATATCATATTTTACAGAAACGAGAACTTACCATTGTTCATAGGAAATTGTACTGGCTTAAATGGATTAATAGGATTACATAGGGAGGTATCAATTGACTGAGAATTATTATTATTGACTACGTTGGCTGATGGTCGCCATAGATCACCACTCGCAAAAGGATTCGAGATTACATGCGTAGTTTGATTTCCTACATTCCAGATTGAATTTGTAGCTGAAATAATTAAACAACAAAATATTTTTCTGATGCACTGACATGTAAATTGGTAATATAAATTATATGTTTACCATTATTAGCGTTCCATGTAGGCGTGTTTGTTGTTGTACCACTATCATCTTTCAGTTGGGTTTGTTTCATTAATGAATCTAAGTCTTTCAGTGCCGCGTAACGATCTTCCGATGGTGGCATATACGCTCCGTTTGCGTTTGTTGTACTCAGAGAATTTCCTGTAGTCTGATTAAATGGACTTGACGATTCGATATCTAAATGAAAAGCAAAGTGTTGATATTAATATCATTACAGTAATTCGTATATAGAGAAGCATAGAGTATTTTCTTAACTTACTTGCATTTTTTGGACTATTAAAAATAGGATTGTTGTCAAAGTTAGCGAAAAATGGCTGAGGTACAATAGGTTGACTGAGTTTGTTTGCAGGTGTTGTAGTAGTAATAAATGGATCAGGAACTTTGCTGAAATCAGCTACAAAATCTGTCGAAAAGTTATTGGAGTTAACCGACTCGGAATTATTTGTTTTCTGCATTGGTATAGGAGATAAAGTGGACGTCCCAGAATGTGGAACCCTTGGAATGTTTGATTGATTTGGCAATTGTGATTTTTGATTTGCCATGGACGGATCCAAGTAGTATCTCTTAAGTTCATATTTTGCACTCATTAAATCTTTCATTTTTTGTTCGTCTTTTGTGTCTAAAGTTTGAGAGGAATTTGGATTCATCAAGCCTAACCATATTCTTCTGCAGTATTCGTTACCACGTTCTCTTATAAAATCTATTTCCTCTTGTGTAAATGTCGCCATAGAAATAGACTTTACTCTATGTGGTGGTGTCAAGCCCCGCCTGCAATTTCAAACAAAACTACTGACAGAAATGTTTATCTTCCTATGAATTAATAAAACCTTCCACATTTATAATTACTTCAATTATCTTTATTCTTCATTCTATTTTTTTCAAGAAAGTCATACAACAGTACTTAATAATAAATTACTAAGAACTTGATACATAACAAATTACATGTAACAGTTAAGAAATTCATTAAAATGATAGGAAATAATTAAATTAGATTTAGGACTAGAGTAAGCTATAATCTTCAGGATGTAAATATTAGAAACTTATTTAACAATTATAAAAATCTTTTATTGACATCAACAAAATATTCTCAATAATAATTTTTTGTAGTTTACTAAGCAAATATGTATATATGATATTTTACTTTTACTTAATTTATTAACATTTAATTAACAATATAATTAAATGAAAAAAATGAATATAAAAATTGACATCCAAAATAACCAAAAATAAATACTTTCTTTTATTCAAATAACTCAGTTATACTGTGTAAATCGGTATTCTAATAATTTGTCATTTTTTAAATAATACAAAAAACAATTACATTTTGACAAAAGCCAGTGTATATTTTCTAATTTCTAGATCATCTTACCATCATCAATAATATCTTTTATATTTACACATTAAGAAACAAATCGACGAATTGTTTTCACTATATAATTAGTGAAAACAAATCGACGAATTGTTTTTACTATATAATTAGTGAAAAGAACATTGACCTAATAATCTTATGGAATCACTTGAACTTTGGTATACAGTTCATGTTACACACTGGAAGCCATTCGATTTTATGTTTAATTATAAAGAACATTAATTATAGTGATAAGTGATTCGGAATTAAAAAATATTTACTGTTAACATTTACATATTGAGTAATGTACAATCTCTTTTTTTTTCCTCACAAAATGATCATCTCTAATCAGTAACGTATGACTATGTGGCAATCGAGCTAATTATTTTGTAAATTTTGCAACACATCTACTGATTTTCCTCTGTGCTCGTGAGTGTAACATTTTGACCATTGATAACACGAACTACGCACGAAGAAAACTACTGATATCGATAGTGCATTAACTTCCTGACTCTGAACAGGACCGTTTAACAATGACTCATAATCGTCTGTCGCGAATCGGTAGTACACGGTCCACTTGCACGTGTCTCGAACGAAAATTGTTTATCGACTCGTGAAAATAACAATACTTTATATTTTTTTTTATTAATAACGGGACAAACTCGTTCGATGGATTCAAAACGTTGACATTCGACTAATCTTCATCTCGAACGTTTTGATCGTTAAAAATCAAGCTAGGATTATCACCGATGCCAGTCTCAGTTATGACACGAAACAATGATGGTTAAAAGTAATCGTTACGTCGATTTAGATGACGAAGAAGACTCGGTGCACTTTGTTGGCTTCTTACAGGTAACGAGTACTTACAGCATACCAGAACAAGAGGTACAGACAAATGAACCGATTGTCATGTTGACGTAAGTCGGGCCTCGTTGATGGCAGTCGAAACATTCTTTGTTACCGGGTTGCGAGACCAGCTCGCGTAATATTTTCAAATTCTTCTCGTCTTGCTTTCTCTTCGCGGACGCCATCATATAAGAAGTTACTTTGTAATTCCAAACGGAACAGAGACACGACTCCTTTCGCGGTCTGCTTGCGGAACTGACTCAATTTTCTGTCACGACTGTCGTGCGTGTTCCGTAACACATTCTAAAAATGTTCCGCGAGAAAACGGATCAGACGCATACCGCGTTTACAACGATTATTCAAGGCGTACCCTTATTCATTGAGGCTAGGGATTTTGCTCCTACTCGTGCGTGTCGAAAAGAGCTGAACGCGCAGTACTGTAATCGTAGGAAACGGTGCCTGGTCTCAATTCATTGTACTTCTATTTTTCTTTAAGGGAATTAAAAGCAAAAAGCACAAACATAAAGAATTAATGTTAGATTACGTGCTCTTATATAAAGTAAAAAAACAAATCAACAGACTCGGAGGGCCACTTTTACAATTGTGTTAAATACTTTACGCATGCGCAAGTGGGATACGAGCTTGCCATTACAGGCCCGAACCATAGACTAAGTAGACCCCGGTCTAGAGAATTTTTGAATAAAGTATAACTAAATTGACATTTACAAATTACAATTAATTAGTAATCTTCAGTAAAAAATGACAAATGTCCTTTTTTCGCGATTGAATAAGCGACACCTTGATAGTTTCATAACCTTGAAACGGTTACCTGATTCTTTAATTACTTTTCGTGAATTGAAAACGAGCCCTAACAGAGGTTTATTTTAAAGCAGAGCTTGCGCAGAGTAAGTTTAACTTATATTTAAACTTGCGATTAATTTTGTTTCGCTATAAAGTACATAAATAAATCAACAAAGATAGACTTCAAAATGCTTCCTCATGTTTACAGGTTATTTGAAAATTGCGTTCACTTCTAATACAATTATTCACAGATGTATAAAGGTAATCGCTGCCAAATGTAAAATACATTAGATTAGATCACCTTAAATTCTATGCTCATGCGATTGATAAAAACAATTCAGAAAAATATGATTACAATGATAATTCATCTACGACATTGAAGGTCTTTCGTAATTTATTTACAATTAATTTTCAGTATAAAATTACGATATATTTCGACCTAATAATTAAGGATACAGAAGTTTGCTTTTGGTAAATTTGAAATGGATTGCTAATATCTCCGTTAGAAGCACATTTTTTATTTCTATTTATAAATCGAAGATTATACATAAGATTTTCTGTGCCAATTACATGTCCGTTTTGGTTACAGTATGAACAAAACAATCGTCGGATGGTGAGCAGCCAAGGTTAATGTACATACTAATATACCGAAAAATACGGTTTTTACTATTTCAGTCGCCGCCTTTGAACGTGTGCATCTCGTATTGCATAGAACAGTGTTATATATTAAAAGTTTTTACTTTACTCTATTGCCTTATTCCACTTGAAACAAAGAAAACGATGTCATTGGTGTTAACAAAATAAACGAGAATAATCTTCGTCGTATGACTATGCGCATTATCAAATAATAGAATCAATTCAAAGGAAGGTTGGACTTGTTTTGAATAAGATGACGTCCCTTGCGACGACACCTACAGACACAAAAAGGTTTACTAAAATTTTATATATTTCACAGGGAAAACAACTGTATTTAATTAATTTAATTATGATATAATTAATCACCTTCAATTTTAATATGTCTATCTTAAATAAATACATACTTTAATTATTTGCTTTCTTTTTATAGATTTACTCAGATTAGAAATGTACGCCAGGGTAGTATCATCGATTTGGATATTGATATGTTTCTAAAAATTTCAAACTATGAAGACACTGTGAGACAACTCGATATTTATTATGGAATTGGTACGAACATTAATGGTCAATCTATTACAATTAAATTTCAATAATTATGAAGTACATAGATAACATAATTTTTAGTCAAGAGGCAATTATTACGATACCAAAGTTGCATAACAGGCTTGTTCCCACAAATTTCAAGTGACGAAGTAGTGGGAAGTATACGAGAAAGCATTTACTGTGCTGCCGCTGTATGGAGTTTGTACCAAGCATACAGGTATTTAAATAAATAATTTAAACTTTGTTAATAATTAATATGTATAATATCGCATATAACATTATCCTTATTCTTTCAGGCGTATAGACGACGATCGTGGAAAATCTTACGAGCTTGGACAATCAGCTGTAAAATGTATGCGTGGAATTCTGGAGTGTTGGGTAAAGCAATCTTCTAGAATAGAATTATTTAAACGCAACCAATGCAATCGATTCGCGCTGCATTGTAAATTCCATTTATATACAGGCGATGAAATTTTTAGCGATGCTGCCTATAATCATTTGCAAGTAAGTATAACATACAATAGTACACTGAGTTATTGTACACATCTGGAGTATGTTATTTACATCACCTTATATTTCTTACAGATCGATATCGTTTCTCTTTACTTGATATTTCTGGTACAAATGATTTCATCAGGATTACAAATTATATATACTCAGGATGAAGTGGCATTTATACAAAATCTTGTGTATTACGTAGAAAGAGCATATCGAACACCGGATTATGGCATGTGGGAACGTGGTAGCCGATATAACGATGGTACACCCGAAATACATGCAAGTTCGATTGGAATAGCGAAAAGCGCTCTCGAAGCTATTAATGGTTGTAACCTATTCGGAGAAAAAGGAGCTTCTTGGTCGGTCATATATGTTGATATCGATGCTCACAATAGAAATCGTAGCATTTTTGAAACAATGCTTCCAAGAGAATCCAGTTCTAAGGTAAACATTTGACTCATACAGGAATCTGATATTTGTAAAAAAAAACTATTTGTCAGCATTGAAATTATAAATATATTATCTATATGTAGAGTGTAGACACAGCTTTGCTGGCAACAATTTCTTTTCCGGCATTCGCCACCCATGAAGAGGTACTATACAACGAGACAAAGGCAAACATAGTTCGAAGATTAAAAGGCAATTATGGTTTTAAAAGATTTGGGAGAGATGGATACAAAACAGTCTTAGAAAACAAAGATCGTCGTTATTACAAATCTGGTGAAATCAAGGTCTCTGATGTGTATGATTGTTAGTACATTGTTATTGAAAATTCATTTAAATTAATTTAATTTCATTCGTTACATTTGTAATCCTGTTCCATATAAATATCCTAACTTTCCAATAACAATGACAAGTTGACGCTAATAGAAATACGTTTCTGTTTACAGGAATTTGATAATGTAGAATGCGAGTGGCCGCTGTTTTACATCTTTATGATCATAGACGGCGTTTTTAAAACGTTACCAGACCAAGTGGAACAGTACCAGAATTTGCTAAAAGAACGAATACATAAAGATATAAATGGAGGTATACTAATGAAATATTAACTTGAATTTTATTATGTAAAATACTTTTATGCTCTTATCTTATAGATCCTGTAATACCTATGTATTACTACGTGCCTGAGGAAAATTTGGAAGCAGAAAGAAATGATCCTGGTAGCACACTTCGAGTAGCGAGTAACGAAGGAAGAGGGCGAAGAGGTTCTATGGATACCGAAGTTACTCCTATATATTTATGGAATCAAGCTATGTTCGTAATTGCACAATTACTTACTGCTGGTTTGTTACATATCAATGAATTAGATCCGATCAGACGGTATCTTCCTTCGTACAATCGTCCACGAAAAGCTGGAAGGTATTCAGCTTTTCAAGTAAGCAAGAACATATCTTCTTTTATTCTAGTAAATTAATCATCTGTACAAATTATTTTGCATATGTTTATTCCATACAGGCTAAACCCAGTATTGTAAGTAAATGATAATATATGTATATGTAGTACAGTATATTTTGCACTGATTCTATTTTATTGTTTGATCACTTAATTGATAGACTAGTCCTTATTGTATAACGCATATGTATTTGAAGCTTTCGAACTAAGTATATGCTTAATAGAGTATGTTTTGTAGCGTTTTTTTTCTTTTAGTATTTGAGATACAATTATTTCGTTAGTACCAAATTAATAGTATGTACTATATATGTATTTGAAGCTTTTCGATAATGCAAAAATGCATGAAGCTTGAAGTAAGGCATGATTTATTTTGCTCTTTTTTATTATGCCTGCTGAAACTGTCTTATATTTCTTTTTTCGATGATCTTTCGTTTTTATTCTTTGCAATGATCTTATGTATGATGTCTTTTTTTTATGATTTTATCATTTTTAACGCATTAAGGAAAAAGAAAACCGATTTTTATTGATTAAATAATTATATCGATTTGTTTTACTGTATTGTAATAATGCATGATTTATCTATTAGAAAATTTCTCTATATTAGGGTACACATACTGATCTTGTAGTACAAATCGTTCTTATCGCCGAGTCTATGCGGTTACAAGCTATGATGGCAACGTATGGTATACAAACACAGACTCCACATGAAGTGGAACCTGTTCAGATATTATCATCTATGCAATTAGTAAAAGTATATGAAAAATTGGGAGTGAATAGCAAATTGAATCTAGAAGGTAGACCAGCTAGGCCAATCGGATCTTTAGGTACAAGTAAGGTATGTTTAATGAAAAGAAGATTTGAAAGAAAAATTCAAATATATTTTTTTCCAGGTTTATAGAGTATGCGGCATGACCGTGCTCTGTTATCCTCTGATATTCGAAGTATCAGAATTTTACCTATACAGAGACATGGCTCTATTAATCGATGATATTAAAACTGAGCTTCAGTTTGTAGGTAAATATTGGCGACTTTCAGGTCGACCTACCGTGTGTCTTTTAATCAGAGAGGAACACATGAGGTACATATTCATGAATTTGGAATTTGTAGTATAGATTCTATGTCATCTATAAATCAACAAAATATCTTCTTACTTCAGAGATCCACAATTTAAAGAGATGCTCGATCTCTTTGCAATGTTAAAAAAAGGATACTGCGACAAAACGAAAGTACGAATAGGTCGACTGCAAAATCTCATTTCCTCTTCATGTATCGGTAATTAATATTTGTTAATTCCATTATTCGTTGTTTACTACATATTAATAATTCATTTTTGTTACGTAGAACATTTGGATTTTATAAATACTATAGAAACAGATCTTGAACTTAGCCAATTTAAGCAGTTGGAACATGATTATATTGGATACCAAAGTCTTACGGATGTGCCTAAGGCTCTAACTTATGCAGAAGATGTAAAAGATTACTCTGTAAGTGAATCTTTATAAATAAGTAACCGTTTATATCTTTATTTATTTCAATTATTTCCCATTTTAGAATTATATGACGGAACCACTGTGCAACATATTAAGTGAAATTCGTAGTAATAAAAATCTTTATTCTTTGTGTCAACTTTACGGTATTTTGTTAAAACGTGAGGGTATTGATTACGAAATTAATGGAATAACAGGTATTACTTTATATATCAACAAAATAATATATTTTGCGATATATTATTTTACTTCGATTCACGTTCACTTTATTCGCTACTTCATTTTAGTTGGCGATCATTTAAGATCAGTATACCAACAAGCTGGCTGTCTTAGATATTGGATGGTTGTTCGTTACTGCAGCAGCTTATTGAATCATACAGTTGACAGTATCAGCCCTTTCATCACAGGTGTTCTTGTTAAAGGAAAGCAGGTAGTCTTTAATTATTCATTTGTCAAAATAGCGTTAGTCTTTAATCGAAACTGAAGATCTCATCCGTCGTTAATGTCAGATAACAGTTGGAGTAATCGGACACGAAGAAACAGTATTTGATAAACCAATGACACCAACAGAAATTCAGTCAGTTATGTATTCTACTATTCAGCCACATAACGTGGTTCAAGCTGTACTTCAACAAGAGGTTCTTTTATACTGTGGTAGACTTATTGGAAGGAATCCAGAAATGTTTAAAGGAATATTAAAAATTCGTATTGGGTAAATAACAAATATCTATATTACGAACATATTTGTTTAAGAAAGAAATATTTTGGATTATTATGATTAAACATCGTTCATGTTTACAGGTGGGTTTTAGAAGCAATAAAAGTTTACTTACAAATGTTCGTTAAAAATTCTAAACCAATTGAAGATTACAGTCCTTACGAAATTCGTCAATTTCTAATAAAAGTATTAACGGTTAAAGATTGGGCTAAAAGCGAATGGTATATTACTTTATAATTTTTCATTCGATGTTTAGTGCTTCGTTAATTTTACATAAATTAATATGTGCTTTGTAACAGCCTTACAGTTTTGGGGCGTAGAAAAATTGAAGGTTGCCTATGCAGAGTACCTGCACATTTTTATAATCACGTCTGGGAAGTACTGATACGCTGTCCAGGTGGTATCAGTGTTAATGGACAAGAATTACCTCAACAACCCACTCTATTTAACATGACTCGTTCAGAAATTACGTTTGCTTTGCTTGTAGAATCGTTGCTTCATCACATACAGTTACCAGAATATCGTCAAATTATTGTAGAGGTATTAATTGCATAAAATGTTGCGGCGCATGCCACAGCCAAAGAGCTATTGGAAGCCCAACAAATTTAATTACTGTTATATTTTATTTTTTTTACAGCTACTTACTACAGTGTCGACAATTTTACTTCGAAATCCAGAGTTGAGTTTTCAGAAACAACTAAATCTCAACAAACTCGTTGAGGATGGCTTCCAAATGTACTGTAAGGTACATATACGTGACTGTATAAATTTATTATATTTAAAGAATTATTATAAAACGATTCGTTCTTTCAGGATCATAATCTGGAGAAAACTACTGATCAAACTGTTTTCTTTTCCGCCGACTATTCGTTAACTACAGGATATCTCGCTAGGGCTGTAGTTAACAATGTATTAACTGGAGGATGTTTTTCAACTACTCGCGACATTAACGATGCAATTGAAAACAGAGAACCATGCAAAATTTCATAATCGTATAGAATAGATTCCCGTAGAAAAAGAATTATATCGTTTGTAAATGCGTCGAACAAAATTATATTTATATAATAATGTTACCATATTTGCTGAATATATGTATATTTCTTAATTATAGCAGAGTTGATTTTACAAGCACGACATACAAAGTACTAGTATCCTTGTCTAAAAATCCATATTCGCGTACTGATAAGAGTACACAATTATACATTAGAAAATATATTTTTGAATACTTATAATTTATACCATTATATTACATTCTACATAAAATTAAATGAAACTTTACACAACTGTACAAATTCAATTACATTCTTAAAAATCACCGTTTAGCAAAATTTGTGTCCATCGCTCGTCCAGACCGCTGTATGTTATTCATATTGGATTTAATTCTAGATGCGATAGTGCCTACTTCTGCAGCAGCTGCCAAGTGCTTTCTAACGAAATCTTGATTATATTCTTTGCCGCTATCTGTTTCTTTTTTTTCTTCTTCGCTATACTTTTTCACGTTCTTTTCTCGTTCTTTATCTCTCCACGTTGCGTTTGCTATCATCTCTTGCCTGCGTCTCTCCTTCTCTTCTTCCGTGAGATGTTTCTTTTTAGGAATCCACTCGTCCTTACTTTTGCTTTTAACTTCACGTTTAAAATGAGTTTCCTTATGAACTAATCTGTTCGAGGCATGTACACCCTCGACGTTATTTCTATTATAATGTCTACCTTTGTGAGAATTATTTTCTCTATCTCGAGGAGTTCTCGAGTAAGAGCTTTTGTCTTTAGTTCTATCTATATCTTTCTCATGTAATCTACTCCTCTTTTTACGAATAGAACTGTCACTTCTTTCTCTACTCGAACTATGATTTCGGACATGTTTTTCATGTATGTCTTGTCTCCTATCTTCCATCTTATCCTTTTTTGTATATTTCTCTTTATGTTTTTTAGTTTGTATGCTATTATTTTTACTTTTGTTTACCTTTGTTTGTTTATATTTTCCTATACTTTCATCCTTTGAACTTTCGTTGCTGCTGCTTTCAGATTCACTACTGAAAGTATCACTTTCGTTTTTCGACATTTTTTGTCGTTTATGTTTAACCTTCTTCATAGACTTCATTAAGTCCTTGTCATTAATTCTATTCTTTAACTGTTTGTATTTAGCAGCTAATAACCGGTCCAATTGTGTCTCATCATCGCTGTCTACATTCTGTTTATGCTTTTTCTTCTTTTTTTGTTTCTTTTCAATTTTGTCCTTTTTCGATTGTTGCTCCAACTAAATGATAAGGAATTAATTGATAAATTCATTCATTCAATAAATAAATAAATTTGTCAGCAACCGATATTTACTTACCAACTGTCTCAATTGCTTTAATTTGACAGGATTTTTCAGCAACTGATTTCTTGTTTCCATTTCCTTTTTTTTTATAGCATACAAAGGATCTTCCTGCATTTTTCTTGCCAGGTCAACTTGTTCGTTACCAGAAAAAAAACGTAGTGAAGGTGGAATACATTCTGAAATTATAAACAAATAGTATATGATTAATCATTATAGATTGCAACATATTATATATATGCAAAGTTTATAACATAAAGTACCATGTTCAACATGATTTCTAGGCATATGATTCACTTCAGGATCCTTCTCTGCTTGTACCATTTGTTCAAAAGATTTATCAATCGGTCGTCCAAGTAAATACTCTTCTCTATTGACTAACTGATTCGGTCCTTTGTACATCCAATCCAATTTTTTATCATCTTTCTTCTCTATTACGCCTTGGTCTTCCGCATACTTTTTCATATCCTCCCTATCCTTTTCCATTTCTATTTCTTTCTTCAATTCAGCTATCTTTCTCTTTTCTTGGTTCTGTTGTTGCTCTGCCTTCCAAACTTTCTCAATATTTTTCATGGTAGACGGATGCCATGATTTCTTCAAATTCTTCAACAAATTTTTCATTTTATTTAACAAATGTCCAATGTGTACAATGTACATTTTTACTTGCACAACAAACTATTGAAATTATTATTCAACTTACCAAGTCTCCTCCACCCATTTTCGTAACGAAGGCAGTCGTATTATTATACCATTTAAATTAATATACTTTATAAATTTCTTTGTTAATGTATTCAAATATTAATGATAATTTCTAGTGTAAACTATCATAAATTAGTGGTCCGTACGCCAGTAGCATTACAAACAACAACTACAAAACATAGAACTGGTATGGTAGAGTGTATGTGTGAACCCTACTATAAATATTTCAGTGCGAAATGAAGTAGCGCATGCGCGTACATATATAGGGAGAGAAGTGGCTATTTTATATTGTTTTTGTAAAATATTGCATTATGTCTAAACGCGTTACTAAATAAAGTTTCAGAGCAAATTCTTTTATATTATATTACGCTTTTTAACCATTTTTCGAAAAATTGTTTAGAATAACATATTCAATAGTAAATATAGATGAATGTAGAAAAAATATTTAAAAAGCGAAGATAAACAATGTTTATTGCAAATTAGATAAACAATGTTTATTGCAGATAAACATTGCAACATTATGGTTTTCAAATTCCGAAAAATGGCGGCGACCAATCAGAATCGAGCAACGTTATTCCGCGACTCTGATTGGAAGGTCTGTAGCAGCCTCTAGTACCAGGGCCGACGTTAGGGGCAGGGGGGGCGGTCGGGCAACCGCCTGGGGCGCCAGATCTTTGGGAGCGTCGCACTCCGGTGTCCCTAGTATACGAATATAGTATAGCTGCTATACAGGGTGTTCCAAAAATGCTGTAACATCTTAAAAAGGGTGGTTCGGGAGGTGATTTGAAACAACTTTTTCCTTAGCGAAAATATTGTCCGAGGCTTCGTTGAGGAGATATTAACGGAAAACACTGACCAATCAAAGCGCGAGTATGCCGGTGGAGCGGCCGCCTAGCGCTACCATGGCTGCTCGAACGGTATACGCGCGCCCTGATTGGTCGGGGTTTTCTGTTAATATCTCCTCAACGAAGCCCGGACAACATTTTCGCTAAGGAAAAAGTTGTTTCAAATCACCTCCCGAACCACCCCTTTCAAGGTGTTACAACTTTTTTGGGACACCCTGTATATTGTAGTTTAACAATCTTTACAATCTAGCTACAGATTCATCGTTTGATATTATTACCTTGTCTAGGGGCGCCACGATAATCTTGCTCGGAGCACCAATATTGCTAAAATCGGCCCTGTCTAATACCCTCTAGACTCTAGACTCTAGTATCTACTGCGGTCAGCTTCACCTTCACGTGGCTTCGCATACGTATTACGCAGTTTGTATAGTTTTCGCGTTTTCGCGCGGGAATGTTGTGCTAGCTTTGCGCTTGCGCAGAAACCACCAAAACATCATGCCAGCGACTGTTGCCGACGTTGATAGTGAATCTCAGTGAATCTTTCAACGCATTTAAAAGATCACAAAAGATGTAACGGGATCTAACTGATAAAAATGTCTGTATATTCTGAAAGAATACAAGAATTATTAAAAAGTGCAACAACTACAAAAATTACAGAGAGGAGAGTATGTATCTTATTCTAATTAATTACTCGCAATGCATTCATACTATTTAATTCTAATTTACTTCTTGTGTCATTTAATTTTGCATCTTGACAGTTTACGATTTTTTTAAGAAACAATAAATATTAATGATTAATGTTTCCTTCGAAATATCATTTAATAATTTTTCGTGAAAAGCGTATTATTTGTATTTGTATTTGTATTTAACGTCGATTGCAATTTTTATTTTTAGAAATGCGTTGTAGAATTGTTGGAATTATATGAAAATGAAGAAGCGGTAAATGAGATACATAGAAGCACAGAACAAAATGTAAAAGGTGTTGTGAATTGGTCGTATATTGTACATACTGTACATAAACTATTGATAAATGTAAGTATATGTTTATTTAAAAAGTTTGTTAGACATAAATTTATTAAATAGTAAATTTATTTTTATTAAAGGAAACAAGTAGATTTGCTACTAAGGAAAAGAGTAACAAAGCAACACTTACAGAAAGACAAAATATATGTATGCTTGTACGAAAAACGATTCAACATGCAAATTGTTACAAAATACCACTTATAAAGTGCAAAGACATAATGCCTTTAATCTTGCAAGTTCTAGGGACAAAAACTTATGAATATTATCATGAAACTTATACGGGTATACTGGTTACATATATACTTCCATTTAAAATATATCAGGCAAAGATGTTACCTGAACAGTGGCAAGAATTATTGAAGATATGCATACACTTGTATGAAAATGTATCTTCACTTACAAATAAACGAACTATATTAGATGCTTTACAAATGATTGTATATTTTGGTTGCATTCACTCAAATCTACTTCTTCACCTAAAAAGGATATTATTGTTTTTAGGTGTGTATAAGTTATTAAAAACAAAAGTCAATTACCTAAATCCCTTTTAACGATAAGTTTTCAATACCTTTGTATAAAATGAAAAATTTTACATTTAGTTATGTCTTGAAACACTTTAAATTTTATTTTGTTTCAGAGAATGTTTTTCTTGATGTGAAAACAAATCAAGAAATCTTAGCAGAATCCGCTTATAAACTTACGAACACGGTATGTCAACAAATTGCAACTGAATATAGGATTATGCTTTGTCAATTTAGCGAAAATATTTTGCCAAACATAATTAGTTTAAAAAGTTCATCAGAGAAATACAAACTTTTATTACTTTTTATTAAAATTCATCATCCTAAAGGAAGATGTAAAGTCTGTGATGGAGCTTATGCTGATAATTGGGAGAAGTGGCACACGATACTCAAAAGTATATATTTAATGATCTTAAAAGATCTTAAAGTGGATGTACTTTCCGAAAGTTTTATTTATCTTGCAAGCGAAGGTAATTGTTATTCATCTTTAATAATAAAATAACTGAAATGTATATATTTTACTTACTAGAAATCGTAAAAACATAAAATTGTTTTAGTTTTTAAACAAATGTTAGAAAATCCCAACATTATCATTGAAAAAACATCGTACAACGAATGTGATTATACGCAATCGGCGAAACGAAGACGAATTGCTATAAAAATTGATGGATTAGTTAATTTGGTCATGGATAATAATGCGCAAGAAGCATGGCCAATGATACAAATATTAATAGTGTTACTCAAACAATATCCCGAATGTTTAAAATCAGAAGACCTTACAGCATTTTTGAAAATCCTAGTAGATTTTCTTACGCAGTCTTGTAAAGAAGAAGTTATTATGGATAATTTATACGAATTGGCTGCTGTTTTGCTAGTAAATGAAAAAATGTTTTCAGTAATCGATATGGAAAACTCAAATATTTATTGGGATAAAATATGGGATATATTGTTAAGGTAAAATTTATTCTGTAAAATAGTATGAAGTTGATTATGTAAATTACGAATTGCTCCTTCATTTTTTAACAGTAAATTATGATTTTAGGTCTCTAAATGTAAATCAAAACGAAACATCAACTCACAAACTTACCCAACTCTTTATAATAAATAATAAAATAACTAATCCAAATGCACTTTTAAAGCTGTATCTCACAAATGTTATTAAGTGGTCTATCATGAGTATTCGCACATTAGCAATACTTTGCGAATATTTATCATTGCCAACTGATATTACAATGGTTAATATAAATATGTGCTCGCCAACGATGAATTCAAATTCTGTCAGATTGTGCTTGCTAAAGTGGGCATTAGATATACCCTGGCATAAGATAGCAATACAAATAGTAATCGACGAGTTATGTTTACTGTTGATTAATATCGCAGTAAAGTCAAGGCATGAAAAACACATAAAATTTGACGAACAGAGTATCAATAATTCATGCGATTGTTTAAAGAAGGAAAAATATATCGAACCTTCTTATGAGGATATCGAGTATTGCTATTTATTACTAACGTATAACAGGGATTTATTAATTGAAAAAGAGAAAAAAACTGTTCAACAGAACACAAAAGTAAATGAGCATATATTGTACGTGCCAAGTATTGTTACGTCTTTAATGAACAGTTTATGTGACATAATTGATGAAAGTAATGGAGGCGATGATTTATATATAATGATTATAAAAGTTGCTGTTATAGCAAAAATAATATCAACAATGATGCAGTGGAATATAATACCTATGAATATTAACGAAGTGCATCTTGTAGATGCTATGAAACAGTATTTGGATCGTATTTATACTTTATTGGCGGATATAGATCCATTAAGAAGTAAATACATCTACCTTCGCAATGTAACAAAAGCACTTAACATACTCTATGAGACAACATATAATATTAATGTAACAAACATAATTGTCTCATCTGCAACTCCAGATATGTTAAAAAATATATTTAGCTTAATGAATATCGAAGATAATGAAATTGCCGATTACGAGGCAACTAAAGATTATTACAATGATTATGGCTTTTTTCAAGGTAGACGTAAATCTTTGGATACAGAAGTTCTGCATAGAAAACGATGTAACTTCTGTGACAAAGGTACGATTAGAATACAAGCGACAAGAGCTTTAGCATTGTTTTGTTGTATGAATCTAAGACAAGAAAAATGCGAGATTCAAATAAAACTTCTGAATAATTTACTTAAAATAGAGATGTACGATCTTTCGCGGACAGTTGATTTTAGAATGGCTGTCATAGTTTTAGAATCTTTATCGAAACATGACAAAGAAGAATTGTGGAAAAATCACAAAGAAATACCGCTGAAAAATTTAGTGACATTATATCACGAATGTTGTCTAGATGAAACTGCCATTCATTATATATTAAAAATTTTGCCATATTTTCTTAAGTATGCTACAGACTATAATTGTTACCTAGAAGAGTTAATGAATATTATTTCTCACTTGAATAATCTTCGATCCAAAAAAGATTGTGGTTTCCACGTTCATATAGCATTTACTAAATGTCTTTTAAAAATTATTCGTATCAATCCTTTTCTTTTTCATTATGCATTACACAGTACTTCAGATCAATTAATGCCAATATTTGACAGTGTCTTATCATCTCTTGCCAGTCCTTTGTTTATTATAAAATTACAAGCAATTAAATGCATACAAGAAGTATATTTTTTAACAAACATTGCTTTTAAATGGAAGGAAAAATTATTTATGCAAATCGAAGAATTGGTAAATAAGCTAATTATTAGCAATGAAAAAGTAGACAATAACAGAAATACTGATGAACGAGAGATCAAATTCGCAAGTTCTTTACTAGTACTTAGCGCTATAATATCTAGTAACGGAACATTTCAATGTTATGCTTTGTGGACGATGTTATGTTTCGTTATAGACCAAAAGATAGAAGTTCAAATAATACCAAGGGCATTAAAAATAATAACAAACCAAATATGTTACACAAGTCTCATAGAAGACAATCTAAGTTATCTAGCGACTCGTTGGTTTCATTCGAAATATTTATTACAGCCATTTCCTTGGAATTTGGTACAATGCGAATCTGAAGAAGAATTTTACAAAATGTACATTAATATGTTTGCATTTATTAAACTTAAAAATTTCGAACTTTCTAGCATTACGCCTCTCTGCAATTACGTGAACTTACCATTCGAACAAATTATTGAAAATATTTTTCCACAAATGTTGCTATGGTTATTATATAGTATTAACGAAAACAATGAAAGTAGTGCAAAAAAATTAGCAAGTAAAATGTTTCATAAATTAATATCAAATCAAGATGAATTCGTTCGAATAAAAAAATTTTCTAATTTGTTTAATGATAAATTTGAAGAGACACTAACATGTCTTATTGAAAGATTACATGACGAAGATTATCTCGAACAAATGTTAGAAGTTCGAACTTCATTTCCAATATCAGATCCTCCTCATTTTAAAAGAGAAGTAATTGAAACTTGCTTAGAGTATATGAGACAACATTTTTTTGCAGAAGAAAGGTCTGTACAATATGTTCTAGCATGCAATTGTCCAGATATACTGCAAAAAATATTATTACATTTAGTTAGCAACATTTACAAAAAGAGATTTGTGGAACATAAAGTAAAAGCCTTTCATCAGTACATGTTCTTTTGTACATTAATTGTTGAAGAGTTGAACGAGAACTATTTTAATAAATTGTCTATGTATCTAATAAAAGATATTAGCTACAGTTTACTTCATATAATTAAAGTACATGATGATGTTCTTCTTCATATAGCATGTAAATATTTCTATAAATTTTTAAAGCAAGTATTACCTTTAAGAAGCAAAGAGATTAAAGAAATTTTGAGTTTCGTAGTCATAACATTAATTTCTATTGCACAAACAGAAAAAATGCCAATAACTTTAGACATACTTAGTTTTTTATTAATCGATCAAAAAGAGATATTATGCGGTGCAATAGAAAAGTTAAATTCATTTCCAAATGTTCCTATTTTTCGAGAAATCCGTAATGTCCATAATTCTTTAAAGTATAAAAGGGAAAAGACTTATAGTCTAGAAGAAGAAGTGCAACATTTCTTAAAATCTTTGGTTGATAAAAACATAAATTATAGCATAGAAGATATTTCACATTTACGGCTACAGTTATCAACGAGAAAAGAAGAATTGCAGAAATTATACAATAAACTTGAAACGATGCGTGGTTTTGCTGAAGATTGTGCATCGAGCATGTTGCATCAGTTGATATATAAACTCATAAAATTAACAGCATCTTCCGACGTTGATGTCTCGCTTGAGGCATCAAAGTGTCTAGGTGAATTAGGTCCAAACGATTTAACATCAATGATATTATATTTAGAAAAAAGTCACGTTAAAGAAACTTCTGATTTAATAGAAATATTATCTTACAAAATAGTAAGCAAATTGTTACAATTTATATTTCAAAGTGATATAGAACTTCGAAAAGTTAGTGCCAACGCGCTTTATGTTATATTGTCATCTCCTTGGGGGCAAAAGGTGTTAAGTAAACAATACATGGAACATCTAAAAACTATTTTAGGTGAAACACAAGTAACGATATCTTTACACTATATTCAGCCATTTAAAGTTGGAAAAAGTTCAAAAGTAAGGAAAGTTGGCATAAATAACGAAAAAATTAATAATATTCTAAATCCACATAATACTATTTGGTCAGTTGAATCCGATGGTTCGTATAGCAATTGGATTGTACAGATAACATGTAAAATTGCAGAATGTCTTACAGGATTTTATTCTGAAAATTTATTCCCGATTTGTGCGCTAAGTACTAATTTTTGTGAGATAATTTTACCAAGAATTATTTTTCTAATAATTGATATAGATAAAAAACACATGTCCAGCGTATGTTCTTGTATTAATGCGTTTTTTAATTATCATTTTAACTATATGATGGAACCAAATACTTCTTCATCTGTAATGCGTAAAAATTGTGATCATCAAATTATGCACTGTATGTTAAATATTGTAAACTACATTAGGATACAAGTTACCGACAATGTTCATTTAAAGTTAAATTATATGTACATCGCTAAAGCTGCGCAATATTGTTCAGCATTTTTTACTGCGATACTATACGCGGAAATGTTTTGTGAAAATATTTTAAACGATTACAATAATTTTACCAATGTTTCAAAAATTGATCGCATCTATGAATTGTCACCTGAAGAAGGAAAGGTGATTCAAAATATTCTTCGGGACACTTACTCGAAAATAGGTGATTTTGACGCTATTCATGGTACCGGTTCCTCTCATTTACAAGATCATTCCACTCGTATACAGCATTATGTTCAAACTCATGATTGGAAGAAAGTAATGCTCGCCCAAGATGTTGAACTATGTTTTGGAAACATGACAGTAATCAAAGGTACGTAAGTATATTTTATATAATTAGTATACTTAATAATTTAGTACCTAATATAATCGTGATATCTTTTTTAATATGTATCTAATTGTACATGCATTACAGAAATGGCTAATGGATTACACCAGTCTGGTCTACAATACTTACTCGGTAATTTCATATCTACCATATCCAAAAGTGCTGAAAACATTGATGAAGATATTCAGTACGAATGTGCTTGGCGACTTAGCAATTGGAATCTTTGCGAAATGAATCAGTTATATACACAAAACGATTATAAATTAAAATCGAACATAACTGAGTGCGATTATCATTTTTATCATTACCAGGCGCTAAAATATTTCCACGAAGGCAATGATATAGGTGTACAAAGTGCAATTGAAAACGCTCGCATGAGTATCATCAAAGCACTCAGAAATATTAGTTTAGGTAAGGATCAGTAAATTTCTTAATATAAAATAAACATTGTTTATCTAACAGTATATTATTTCCAGAAAGCAGTAAAACTATATATGAAAGGCTGATGCAGTTACAGTTAATTCGCGAGATAGAAGAATTAAGCTTTGCTAAGCCAGATGAATATGAAGCGGTGTTGGAAAAATGGCAACAGCAAGATATAACAAATTTTAACGAATTTCAATACCTCGAACCAATTTTAACTCAGCGGACTATTATGTTTCAAATAAACGATACTTTGACTGATAATGTTAAGCTAAAGCATGCACTGTTTAATACATATTTAGAAATTTCAAAAGTGGCAGCGGATAAAGAAAATTTGCATATCGCTACTCGTTCTCTAGGTATATAAAATATAAACATATAAATTGCACGATACTTTGATTATATTTGTACATATGCATTTTATCGATATGTCATTCTGTTTCCATAAAAGCTGTCTTAGCGAAACAAAAGGACTTGCCTTCCAAAATTCAAGATCAATTACTTTATCAGGAATCTCTATTGGCGCGACTTAGAAAAGATTTGGAAATCGGACGGTTTCTGTTGCGCAATTTAATGCATAAAGAAACATTGGATAAGAATTTACGAGCACAAGTATTAAGAGTTTATGGAGATTGGATGGCTGAAACAAAATCGGAAAATCCTGAGGTATACATCGAATATGTATTTATAAAAGTCTTATATTCATTTACATATGAGTTTTAATAGTTTTCTATTTATTCCTCAGGCTGTGATAAAAAAGTATTATTTAACATCTATAGATGCAAGCATTTCTATTAACGAACAAACTACAAATAGTCTTAAGAATTTACATGACACACAAGTAGCTCTGGCTCGCTTTGCTGATACTCAATTTGAACAAATATGTTCGTATATGAAATCTCCTCAATTTGAAAGTCTGAGAGAGTGTATTACGTACTCAGGAAGAGGAATTAGCATGGATTCAGTTCCTAAAGACGAGGATGTTCGAAAAGCTTTGATTTTGAATCAGAGACAAAATATAAATGATGTCGCTGAGCTAGAACGCATACAAAAAGAAAAAGATAAATATTTAATCTTAGCGCTACGGTAAGTTTTGCAAATTTAAATAAAATCATTAAAAAATTTCCTGTAGAGGATGATGTATTTATAACATGGAATGTTTCTTTGCATAGATATTATTTAGCAGTACTACAACAAAGTGAAGACTATAATCTCTTGGTATTTAGAGTAGTAGCACTTTGGTTAGATAATGTACAAACAAAAGAAGTTAACGATTTATTGCACGTAAATCTCGTTAAAATACCATCTTTTAAATTCATTCCGCTTGCTCCACAATTAGCAGCGCATATGAATGACGTTTTTGATGACTTCTCTAAGGGAATATATAAAATTATGGAACGTTGTGCCTTGGAACATCCGCATCATACATTACCGGTACTGTTGGCATTGAAAAACTTACATGGCGATTATGAGTACAGTACAACTAAGAAAAAGAAGACTGCGGAGCCCAGAGTTCTCGGAGCTAAAAAATTATTACACGAATTAATGCAGTCAAATATCGAATTGATTTTGCGCGAAATGGACAAGTTATCACACTCCTTAGTTATGTTAGCTAATCATACAACTTCTTCGAACAAATGCAAGTATATTATAATTTAAAAACGTATTAGTATAATGTTTAATAGTTCTGAGTAAGTTTTTTAGAAAATTTTTTATTTACAGCCGGCTCTAAAATCAACATACCTAAAAATCAAGAAATTTTAAAAGTTAAAAATTTCGTAAACGTACTTGTACCAACGATAACAATTAATTTAAAACCATCCAGAAATTACAATGATATCATTGGTATTTCTAAATATGTGGAAACATACGAAACTGTCGGAGGTGTAAATACACCGAAAAAACTAATTTGCATTGGTACAGATGGAATTGCAAGATATCAGTTAGTAAAGGTATACTATTTATAATATATGTGTCGTTACTCAAGTAACTCGTCTAATTATTGAAATACATTTAAATCTTCCGCAGGGAAAAGATGACTTGCGACAAGATGCTGTAATGCAACAAGTTTTTAATGTAATGAACATACTCTTGAAAGCTTATAAGGAAACTAAACGAAGAAAATTGATGATTAGAACTTACAAGGTACTTCTGCTGAATGCTATTTATCGTTTGAGTTTATTCCGTTATTTTATTTATTATGTGTTTAAAGTCTATACTATTGGTACTCATTTTCTTAGGTTGTCCCATTGACACAAAGATCGGGAATATTAGAATGGTGCGAGAACACGATACCCATCGCACTCCTATTGACAGGTTCGAAAAATATTCCTGGACTTCATGAAAAGTATTATCCGGAAGATTATTCGGCGACCGATTGCAGGCAGAAGCTGGCAGTAAGATTATATTTAAATATAATATAAAATTTTTAAATATAATTTCTTTATTTATACCTTTATTTCTAGAATGTGTCAAAATCATCAACTGACGTAAAATTGGAAGTATTTATGAATTGCTGTGCTCACATGCATCCAGTCATGCATTATTTCTTTACTGAAAAATATCCATCTCCTGAAACATGGTTCGAAAGAAGATTGGCATATACGCGCAGGTTAGTTACTATATAGAAATTATTATATTTGCTGCATTATATTAAATTTGTTCTATATGATTGTATTCTATTTATAGCATAGCAACAACTTCTATGGCGGGATACATCTTGGGTTTGGGAGATAGACACTTAAGTAATATTTTAATGGATCAAACAACTGCTGAAGTAATTCACATTGATTTTGGTAAGAATATTTGTATTGCTCTCTAATAATAATATACACAGAAAACATTTAGAAAATGCATTCTAATATTGTTAAATATAATTAGGTATAGCATTTGAACAGGGAAAAGTGCTACCAGTTCCTGAAACTATTCCATTTAGACTTACGCAGAATATTGAAGTAGCAATGGGTGTGTCTGGCATAGAGGGCACAATGAGACATTGTTGCGAGAAAACGTTAACCGTATTACGCGATCAAAGACAAGTAATTATAACTCTGCTGCAAGTTCTTTTATACGACCCATTATTTACATGGACTGTCACGCCAGCTAAAGCGTACAATATGCAAAGTGGGCATTCCTCGAGATCGGTCGAAATTAATCAGTGTAAATATTACCCTTTTTATCTTCATATTGTCTTTAATATTAACACAGTAGAGATAATGCAAATGTTTCCTTCGTTATAATTTACCGTGTACGTAAATTCAGCAAGGAAAATTTTATTTAACACACATAAATATACAAATAATCGAAATATCACTTCAAAAATATACAAAAAATATTATGACTAGGTTCAACGATAACTAATAAAACAGCAGAAAGAGCTCTTCTGAGAATCGAACAGAAACTACAAGGCACCGAGGAAGGTTTAGCATCCAGTGTATCTGGTCAAGTTGAACGACTTATACAGCAAGCACGTGATCCTGTGAATCTCTGTCGTCTGTATTATGGATGGCAACCGTATTTATAATATTTTAATGATCATACAAATTATGAAGTATTATGAAGGAGGGTAGTTAAAAATAGGGATTATATTTTACTATATGATAACTTGTTTTATACAAATATTTATGAATGATCAAAAATGTAAACAAAACCAGTAAACACACGTATTTATAAAGTACATTTTATAAGAACTGTGCATAAATAGTAAACGCATATGGTTAAAGAAGTATTTTTGTGATACCAAAATACAGTAATATAAATATAAACTAAGAATTATACCAAGGATCTACAGCAGGGTTGAGTAGGAATTATCCAAAAGAACTAAGGCGACAGCCCTGATCTAGTGATTTCTAGATAATGTTTAAGTTTGATTTATTATTCTCATTAATGTACATAGAAAGTGCTAGTAATGGTTTTTAACTAAAGAAGTAAGTAGATGACAAGACATGTTTTATATCAAAAGTGCCCTTTTTTGGTATTTTAGTTAAATATTCACGTATCTCTTCTATACTTTTGTATCTATTCTGTAGTGTCCTGCAATCATTTTAAATATAGGTTAGTATGTAAATTTTATTATGCTAAATTTCTTAAGTGTTTTCAGATAAAATTTGTAATAAAAGATATGACACTCTAAACTGTTTTAAGACAACATTAGCATAACATTATTTTAGTAAAAATAACATTTGTACTAAATCCTGAACGAAATACTACTCTTACGAATACGAAGATTACTTACATATAAATCGGTTCATAACGTTGTACAAAAGACGCCGCTAAATTCTCGAGAATGGGTTCAGTATGAAGAGCGACAAATTGTTCTCTACATATCTATAAAAAATATTGATTATGCATTACGAAACGTATAAAAAAAAATGTTAGTAATACCTGAAAGTCTAAAATCACTTATTTTAGATTATACTCACTTTATTCATACCATCCACGGTACAAGCGTGAGTCCAGAAACAATCATGCACCGAGACAAAATCAATGTTTGCTTGTCTACAATGTAGACTAGTAAGCATCATATGAGTTGAATCCAGAGAGTGTATAAAATTTGGCGCAAACGCATTCTTTTGTTTCAAAGTATCTGGTATACTACAAATATAAATTACGTGACTTTTACTTTAATAGAATCAATTTTGTATAGATAGTCGCATAAAGTGTTACTAGTTCTTCATACTAATCAAGGAAAGTAATAAATTCTTTTTGATATTTCAGAATTTGGTAGAGTTACTTGGTGATTTGTTACTTTATCTAGAGACACGGTAGTGTCGCGACGACAAGTACATGTAATACTTTATCTAATCCATCCTGTATATGTGTTTATAATATTATCAATTTTTACTAACTCTTTGCCTTTGAGAGGTTTTTTTATATATTTCTGCTGCTTAATGTAAGGCTGTACAATGGGCAAGCCCAGAGGTGTAGTCCATTCTACATTTTCACGGCAAACAGATGAAATAACTCGAGCACACATTGTGAACCAATCCTGAATCTCTCTTGCGCTTTCGAACATTGTTCTCAAAGTAGTAAATGTTTGTTCGGTCAAATATATACTAGCAGGCATGATAAATTCTTCCGGAAAGTCTTCTAAGTCTATGTGAATTAAGAATAATGAACTATAGTCGAGAAACATGTAAACTTATCATTTTTAGTAAGGAAATTAATTATTCACCCCTCAATTGTTTTGCTATTTGACTTTTTGCACCATATTTTGTTACACCGTATACCGTCGTCATCACTGTTTGTTTTATAACTTTTCTCTTCACAAAATTTTTTAACACTTTCGCAATTGCACTGCCATTCTCAGCGTCTTCCTGTCGTCGTTTCTCGACCTAATAAGCAGCGAAATACTTTTCCCAAAAATATTTATATTATATATTTATAATGTGCAAATCTTACCATAGAAACAACTGTGGAATACACATCTTTTGGTGTGTGAAACGGATATAAATTGACACTCTCGGCACCTATCTGATCTCTGCCAAGTGCTGCGTAATGTTGAAGACCGTTGCAACTTCCATCCTGATGCACAGGAAACCGACTTTCGTATTTCTCTATGTCTGGCGTTTTCAATGCATTCGCTATCTCCATACATCCTGCTAAAGTTTGCCATGGTTCTTCTGACTTCGCCCACCACATTTTACCCTTTAACATATAAATACCGACACCGATACATATTCAAAGTTACTTAAAGTCTTCTAAGCGATAGAAATGTGTAAACCTGTAGCCGTGTACCTAATCCGAAACATTAAACAAACTCGTAATAGTTTTATTTCCAATAAAATTATAACTTACCGTTAAAGGTTTAGCAGCGCTATCTAATATGTTTTCTATATTTTCGTCCGCGTATGCGAGACGTTCTTTAATAGAAGCTGATTTTTTTAAGCTTGTTAAATTGATAACGTGAACTTTTAACCAATCCAATCCATTTGGACCTAAAGGTTTAGCCTTCGCGAATAAGAGCAAAGAACGACCCAGATCAGATGACAGATGATTTAGGTGAGGAGGAATAGGATAAACTCGTCCTCTGAAGTCCAAATTATGCGGCAACCAAAATATTTTATCTCTAAACTTTGAAGGTAATAAAAAATTAAGTGTATACAATTTTAAATAGCGCCGAATTAAATGTTATTTACTAATTTTCTATGAAAGATTAAAAATTTTGTTTAAAAAAATAATGAAGTACTTACGTGATTAGCAATCGATAATCTATAAAGTGAATCACACCACAACGAGTACATTTCATACTTTCTTTGCTTATATTTTGCCATTGATATTGCTGCACTGCGTTTTTCTTCAGACGTAGCAGTTTTATTTATGGAAGCTGGAGGACACAATACAGAAATTGATTGAGGAACGTTCAACTCTACGGAACCACCACGTTGAAATATCTAAATGACAGGAAATCGTGTGTTATTCGTAAATATTATAATTTATCGATGTTATAAGGAATAATTAGAAAGATATTGAAATTATAAATACTTCGATCACGATATCAAGTATAGCGCAATTAATTATCCATGGACTACCACTGAGTTGATTTAAAGAATCTAATACAGGATGCAACTGTTCCAGCGGAGTATTTACAAGTCTTTTCCATGGATTATCCTGAAAAACGACTTCAATTTATGTAAACGTAACACATATATCATATATATTATATTATGTTAGATATATGTAGCATACATTTGGGTCCTCTAATATTATAATCTTAAATACGATTTTCTACTTTATTTATGGGGAACTTATCTACTTACCGAGAAACCTGCAGCTCTTACAATTTCAATTCTAGTTAAAGGGTATCCTCCTGTGTAAATGGAAGTCCATGGACGCGACGGACAATAAGAAGGTAAAAGAATCGAACTAAATGTTAGCATATCTACCTGTGAGTCCCTATACAACTTCGATACTAAAGGATGAGACTTAATCTATAATTACAATACATAATATTAATGTATAATTAAAACAATATTTTTATAATAAAATTTTTCGATGTACAAACCTGTTCTGCTAAATAATTCCCCCTATTTCTGAATAATGTATAGAATGCAGGAATAGAACATTTAACTTCTGGTCCTCTGAACATGTCAGGTTGAATTATTATATCGTTTAAGATAATATTATACAAAAATTTGCCAATAGCTGCGATTACATCTGAAGGCCAATTGATGCATATAGTATCTAAAGATGTACCAAATTCCTTTTGCTCGCATTCAAAGTGTTGCCATATAGTACGATTATTCATATTTTTTAATTGTGGGACGCTTGTAGGATCTAGATACCATTCCAGATACTTTTGATAAACGCTAACGATTTTATCTATTACTCCAGTCTGTTTTTTCATTTTAATCTGCAAGTTATGATTGTGAAGAATAAAAAGTGTTAAACAATATTTACATATTAATATCAAATAATTAGTAATACAAATACATTTCCGTTTACTTTATAAATAACGATAAATTAAAAATATTGTTATTTTATTAGCAAAATCATATAAATATTTATATACCTCGTATTTCCTAAATATAAATTTTCCTAAGTCAACATGTAACAGCTTAAGAGATGTGCTATAAGTTTCTGAACCATGAGCAATATGCTTAATTTCTCGTAATATAGCGTTTACGTAGTCTTCTTCATTCAATACTTCGAAAAACGGCCATAACACCGTCAAAGATTTAGATCGACATTCTTTCTCTTTTAAACTCTTTAAATTCCTTTTAAAGGCTGCTGATGCTATTTCTCTCCAGTAGTTTTCTATTTCAATCAACCTTTCTTTCTAATTTTAACAAAAAAGGTCAGTTACTATTGTATCAAACTTATAGGTGCAACTAGTAAAAGTAAGATACTTTCGAAACTATTGTTTAAAGAACAATCGAATTTAAATATAATATTAATTTAAACGAGGATAATAATAACATACATGTTTAGAAACACCTGTCTCTAGGCTGGGTTTTTCTATGCTTTTTATTTGCACCTCGAGAGCTGATTCGTTTTCTAGCTGCTTGTTTAAATAATCTTTTAATTCATCGATTGTTACTAGACCTTTAACTGGACTTTCATAGTCATTCCTCTTAAAAACATTGCTTAAAAGATTGTACATATATTCCGTATTTAACGTAGTATATGATGGATTAAATTTTGGATTTAGATGTCTAATCGCATTGAGTACAGTGTTTTGTTGACCGCATTTGAAGTGCGATTTAGTAAAGATGTCATTAAAAGATATATTATTATCGTTCATGTCGCATTGAACTCTTATCATCAGTGCTGCATAGAAAAAGAAAACCTTTTACAATGTATTGTCAATTCTTGAATATACTATTGCTCTAACAAAATGTAATTACCTTTCTGCTTTAGATCAATATTGTTTCTTCCAAGAGCATCAAACAAATATACATACGTTTGCGGTGTTGGTTTTAAGGAATCTTTTTTTATCATATGATACAATTCTATTACTTTCTCAAGATCTCCCTCAGAAGCATAAGCTTCTAAAAGGATATTATAAAGTTCGATCTGTTGATCACATTTAAATTTGTGTTGCTTATATTTTCTGTATTTCATTAATGTTTTGGTTGCTCTACTTAACATTCCGCAACTTAAATAAACTTGCATGTGCGCTAACAAACTTTCAATATATAGTTCCACAGTTCTTTCGTTAATAACTGTTGCAGAATTCTTTTGTATGTCCTGAGAATCTTTCTTCCTACATGATAATTTATTTGTATAATATTCTTTCTTTGCAACATCATTACTATCAATTGCAGTAATAATCTAATAAGTCTAATAATCGGTATGGAATGATTATATACCTCATTGAACTATCAAACAAATATTTTTACAAAAGTTATTTAGTACAATTAGTATTTACTAAGTCGTTTCCTTTTCTTAATAAGTACACTTCGCATTTAGTAGTCATCTTCTAGTGTAATAGAACTCACAGAGGCTATAGCTACATTTGATTGTAAATGTAGCTACAGTATGGGTCTAGCAATCCCAAGGTACCCAAACTATAATAAAGTCAATGGGCCCCCAACGGACTACTGGTATAGTAACGTAGAGCGAGAATTAAATGAATGTAAAGAACGAAACTGACCATAGGCAGTGATAAACAATGTCGCATTCGTATGAAAATGTTACAATATATATGTATATATATTATTGCATTTTTATTATACTTACATCTTGGATGTGTTCATAGTTTTATTTCCTTTCTTATTTAAAGGTCCTTTCTTAAATTTGTCAGATTCTTCTATATCATCATAGAGGTCTTCACAATTTATTATGTTGTTAGACAGTGTCGTGTCTTCCTGTTATTTTTTTTGTAAATGATCATGATAATAAAAATTGATAAATATATTATATAAATAATCAGCAAAGTAAACAAATTTCTATATATTTACAATATTGTAGTCAATATTATTGTTGTAAAACGCATAGTCGTCCTTATTTATATGTTTTGGATATGTATCATTGATTTCGTGCAATTCATCCATTTCATTATCAGGTTGATCCACAAGCTTAAATATATTAGAGACTCTTAGATCTTTTCCTGTAGTTCTTTTATTCTGTGTTACTTTATCTGATACTACAATGAAAATAATTGAAATTGAAAAGCTATTCAAGTTTCAATAAATTATTAATAAAACATTTACCTTCCAATAATTCAGAATATTTTTTTGACCTTTGCTTAACTTTTTTCTTTATTGTAGAATCACTTGATAGCTTTACCGTTGTAGCATTATTACGAATTTGATGGTGCATTACTATAAATTAAATAAATTCACATTACAAACAATTAAAACACTTATAAATATGTACAAAATTATGTATAATTCATAGATTATATTACACTTTATTATACTTTGTATATATTTTATTTTGTTTTATTATACTTTGATACGTAGATGTATTACATTTCTTTTTATAAAGTGCATCTATATTTCGTAATTTATACCTAATTACAATTACATTAACTATTATTGTGTACTGAATAAGAACATTTCACTCTACCCATTTTCATACCATAAATATCTTTAATGAAATTTATATAAATATAATTGAAACAAAGAAAATTATAATGTTTAAACGAACGATACACGTGAAAATTATATGTAATAAATCAAATGGTACATTCTCGATAAGTATTCTGATTTCAAAAATTTGTAAACAAGCGGTTGAAGCTGCACAAACGAGTAACAGTCTACTTCTAACGAGCAATTAGAACTATGAAATATCATGAAGATACATTAGCGAACATACTTTTTGATACTTTCCCATGATAGAAATTACAGTAAGAGCACAACCTTATTGAACTCTGCATAATTATTTGTTTTGGCATTAATAAAACACCATGCGAGGAGATCCGTTTTCTAACTGATGTTAAACAAAGTTTGTACATCTTTGTATAATTAATCAGAAGATGTCCGTAAATTAATCATTTCGTAAATAAATAGTTTATTCAAAGAAATAACCATCTAAGCAAAATAACCCATAAACGAACCACAGTAGCATTCTGTGACTACATGGGACTACATGAGGAACTAAAGCTACATAACCAATATAAGTTAACCATGAACTTAGGATTAAAGAGAGTAGCATATCGTCTTTAAAGGAAGAGTGACGATGTAAACGGAACTTAAATTCAATTTGTTGCATTTTTCATGCATACTTTGCATCGCCTTAAATCGTTCTAAATGACTATAATTCTTTCTTTAAATTTATTTTTATTTATTAGAAGTTCTCTGGCATATTTTCATTTAATAGAAATTATGAAACTTTGAAGATATGATGTAAATATACAGTTTATTTCATAGACGATAAATACAACTACTTACATTAGTTATATTAGTTATATTATAGTTAAAGGGTGTAACATTTACAATATTTTTTAAATGGAACTTTTGGTATCTTGACCATGGATCTAGAAATGCTTCATAATTTTCACCCGTTATACATCAGACCCATGACGATAAGCACCTGGCTGCTTTTGGGCACGATTAATCAGATTCAATGTTAATACATAAATCTTCGCATAGATTTAATGATTATCATACGTATTATGACTAAAATGCTGTATAATCATGTATTTCTAATTACAATGGTTGCTGTATGGTATATATCATGTTGGTAAATTGTAAAAGCTATTGAAATGCTGTTAATGATAACGAGACCATACAGTTTTGATACAATACATATTTTTCAGACACGATTAATGAGATTCTCTTATTAATAGTAATAATCGTTTGAACAGTACTTAATTAATCAGTAGTTTACTAATACGTAATGTCAATGGACAGACTGTTTAAACGATTACTATTCAGCTTCATGTCTGTGGCAGAATTTGAGATAAACCTTATCGATGAGTCCACCTAATAGATTCAAGATAAAGGACAGTGATATTGTGGTTCTATTTATATGAAACCACTTTAAATAAAACGTACATCCGATATCGCCTGAAGTGATAGTTTTGAATGCAAACGAAACTTTGTCGATCTTTTCTAGGTATAGTATGTAAGAAAGATTGTGGAATACTCAGGGCCAGCGTGACCTTTTGCGGAGCCGGGTTGAAAAATTTGTCGGGGCCTGGATTTACATTCAAATACTACACTTAAATTTTACAACGAAGAATTATTTATTTACCAATGCTGTTGCATATTATATATTTCTTGTAATATGAATATTAAATAATAATACTTTGATGATTTTTGTCACTCCTTTCAATTTAATCAGCGCTACTAAAAAAATTTCTTATATTTGTTAATGGTATCATCATTCTGTAAAAAGTTAATCAAAATCGGTGCCTTTTGATTCAGTACTTTTCGTAGACCGCGGGGCCTTTTAAAACGGGGGGCCGGGTTCCGGCGAACGCACTGAACCTGCCTTGCGCCGGCCCTGGTTTTGAATGCAAACGAAACTTTGTCGATCTTTTCTAGGTATAGTATATAAGAAAGATTGTGGAATACTTGAGCTATGGCAGAATTCGACACTGTAGCAGTGATGGACATTCGTGGGATATTTCCTTCGAGGAATTCCTTTTTGCGCATGCGTAAGCTGACGTCACAGCTACATGTCGTCTGCTACCATACATGTATCCGGACCGCCAGAGGAAGTGCATTTAAGAGGCCTGTGCAATTTTCCCGCGTTTTTAACGGACAAATTAAGTACAAGAGTGTTAGTGTTCGTGAGTGTAATATTAGAGAAAATTAAAAAAAAAATGGATAATGAACCGCAGCCGTCCACGTCACGAATCATCGAGGAAAAGAAGAGAACATTATATTTTGTTCCTTACTGGGATCCAATGGTACCCTAAATTCTAAATAAGTGTATACAGCAGTGAGGACTGCAACGCTCGCTTCAATGCGCATGATCAGGAAAAATCCCACGAATGTCCATCACTGCACTGTAGTGTAAGGCAACATGGTTGGAGCTCCTCCCACTCGTGGTACTGCCCTGCTATCCACTGCGGTCCTCCCCTCCACAAGGCCGCCTCTCCGTATTCTCTCACTCTGTTCATAACGCTTCGCGAAACTATCGCAGTCAGTGCTGGTCAGTGCTAGGAGCAGCGGGGAAGCGGACTAGTATAAAAGTGGGGGAAGTCGCTCAGTGCTGGCTTGCTCCATGAAGCAAGCGTGTCGAACCCTGCTTTATGGAACGAACTGTAAGTACAGATCACTGAACTATACCAATAGTTCAATGATACAGCTCGCAGATGCACTTTATTAGTACCCAAAGCGTCCGCTGCTCGTCGCTGTATAGAACGATATACTTTAAGTTTAGTTTTTTAAAAATCCAAATGTGTACTTCGCTAATGATACGACACACAACAGTTCTTCGTTGATCGAATAAGGAAACAGAACGTCTTATACATGATTCATTTTTACACAAAGGAATAGAATACAATTATTATTTCGCGTAAGTAAAAGCCAGTATTGTCTTCACTTATTTCAATTTCCATTGATGATACAAATTTATTTAATTGTTTCTCGACTATACGATTTTTGTCAGAAATTGATTTCCAGTTGATATCGTTAATGTTTATAAGAACGAATATTAAAGAATTCCCTTGTATATTTCGTCGAAATACATTGTTTTAACGTCTCGTTAAACTTCACAATTTTGTTTTTTTTATTCTTTATAATGAAAACGTAACGCGGTCTTTAAATAGTTTAATTCTGAAACGTGATGTGTAATTAAAATATATAAAAGAGAGCTTTCAATTTTGTGTATTGTTTAATATAATTCGATTTACTTTGTATAAACTCTTCGATTCTGTTTAAAATGGTGGTCCAAGTACAGTGTTAATAATTATGCCATGGAATGATAGATTAGAGGTACTTAAAGTATGATAATACGTGTTTTGTAATTGCTTAATATTTATGAATATTCAATTGTTTGTCTGGACAAAATTTAGCGTTTGAAACAATCGTTAATTACAACGTTGTGAGAAGACAAAGAAACCATAACAAGACACATATTCATAATAATTACACATAAAACATGAAATAAATATAAAAATAATTTTATATGCACTCTAATGTTTCCAATGAGACAATTATACGTTAAGATTTAATATTCATTTTATATAAACAAATGACACTCGTACTTGCATGTAAATTTTAATTTGAACTATTAGTTTGTTTTTTGTTTTAAATATTGTTTAAAATTTCCTATAAGATGATATCATCAAATTAAAAAGAAAGAAATATTGCAAAAAATGTATGACATATATGTAGTATACATGTACAAACACATAGAAAATTTTATAATTAAAATACAACAAAATTTGTTTAAAAAATAGTATTTGAATTCACTTATTTGTTTTTAAAGTAGCCTCTAATTATAAGTTCAATTAATTTCACTCCTAATGGTATCTAAACTAATAGTTCATGAATGTTAATCTATTTCATTGATGAATAAAGTATTTCATTTTTAAATACCCATAACTATATATACAAGTTTGTTAACATTAATAAGATAAATCAATTGCACTTGAAATAGATGGTTTACATGGACCATATGGCTCCATTAGACGGCTCTTGATGTGCATCTGTAGATCTATAAATAGCTAAAATTTGAACTCTCTTTGTGACGTACTGTGTAGTGAAAAGCTTTAAGTATTTTCATTGAAACATAATAGTAAAATATGTCCAAATTCTATTAAATGTAACAATATGATGACAATATAATAGAAATAATTAAAATACATTTATCCTGCTTTATCTATTTTTCTACTTGTATACATAACAAATAATAATCTTACTGTCTCTTTCTCTCTTCATCCCCCACTCCTTTCAATTACATACACATAATTCAATGTAATTAATAGTATAAGATGTAAAGATAGTATAACACAACAAAATTATTAATTATTATTTAATTGTTAAAATAGAATGTTCTTGCTCATAGGGTTTGTAAGTTTTAATTATTACTGTAATTTATCAACAAAGATGCTTTTACTCATCAAAGAGTCATCAGCTATGACCTCTTTGCTTCTTATCTCAATAACAACATATTCAATTAATTGGCCAAAGGAAGCATTCCACTCATTTTAAAGACATAGCATCTACTTTGGTAGTTACAGCGATGATATAGTTCTCACACAATCAATTTAAAGGTAAATTAAATTTGGGTAATGTTGTAGAATAAAATTAATTCCTTTTTATTTCAGATATTTTTTCCTGTTCATTACTGGCCATACTTGAGACCATATTCGAAAAATGAAGTATATTTTAATACTACTTTTGCAGCTACTTTGTATCAATTTTTCTAGTACTAGAGAGATTACGTAAGTTTTTCATCGCTATTTCATTTTTACGACCAGAATTTTGCTAATTAAAAATACAATTTCCTTTTTAGACACGAAGATATCAAAGATGCAATGTTAAGTTTAGTACATATGATGCGCGAGAATACTGAAAAATTAGAGCGTCACGAAGCACGAGAACGTCAATTGGGTGAACAATTAAAAAAAACAATAACTGCCATGACAAAACGCATGTCAACAGTCGATACCTTAAAATCACAACTAACAAAACTCGACGAGAAAGTAACTGGAATTGAACAATTGATTTCCCAGGTATTTTTTCGAATTAATAGAACATCGTACTAATTAAAAACCAGTTAAAGTTTGCGAACATAATTTGTAGCATAAATAGCAGTTGATTTTATAATGTTTCTTATATAAAATTACGTTCTTTAATATTTAATAGAATTAGATAATAAACAATAATATTAAAATGTTTTTTTTTTTTTCAGAGAGATGAACGAGAAAGAATACAAATGCAGAAAACTGTTGATGCATTAGAAGATTTAGAAAGTCGTTTGGAAGGATGGCTTACGGATATTGAAAATAAAGTATCGGAAGTAAATGCTCGATCAGACACTGCGGTACCTTCTATTGGCACTGTCTCTCCTATTGTCGCCCAACTAAACAAAACCGAATCAATGTTAATGGATAGGATTTCCAAAGCAGAGTCAACTTTTAAATCCGAGGCAGTAAAATTAAAAGAAACTGCTAATGCTCAAACTGGAGTAACAAAAGCATTATTGACAGAGGTAAACATATTTTTTCAATTTAAAATTAATAAACATGTTAAAATTAAATATTCTATAGATCCAGGATGCCGGTTCAAGAATTGGCGAACTAGAGGTTCATATCAAACCACACTTCGATATGATTTCTAATATTACTCAGTACACGAAAATGCTACCTCCTATACAACAACTTTTAGAAAATACTACCAATCAAATTAGAGAATTACCAAGGTACGTTGGTATTATTATTTATTGATGATTTTAAAAATTACAACGACCGTACAATACCTATCGATGTTACAAATTTCTTACATTTTATAAATATAACTCTTTGTTAATTAAATCTTTGTTAATTAGGATTAGTGAAATTCAAACTCTTCACAATGAAACTCAAACACTTTTACAAGAAAGCAAACATGTTTTAAAAGATGTTGTTACGCGAGGAATCAATGATATCGAAAATAAATTAATAGAGACTAGAAATGAATCTAAAGACACAGTAGGAGCTTTGAGGTAACATTATTGTATAACTATATATCCTTAACAACAAATAATACTGCAAATTTTAATTGTGTCTAAAGCAGAAAATAGTCTATTTACGATATTTCTATATGTGTAGTCTTGTAGGAATATTATAAATAAACTAACGATTTAAAAGAAAACTAATATTAATAATAACAATACCTTATTGAGTATTCTGAGATTTTAGAATGGACTTGGCAAATAACGCGGAACGTGTAAATCAAGAATTACATGATCTTGAAAAGGGTCAATCCGTAATGGTCTCGATGGCTGATCATGTTTTAGATACGAAAAAAAGAGTCGAATACGGAGTACATCAAATTCTTTTAGAAGTAGGAGATTTAGTGAAAGCGCAAGGTATAAATATCAATAACACTTTAAATCAAAGATTCGATGGAATATCAAATGACATAATGGACAATCAGAATGGAGCTTTGGCAAATTTGACCACGAAAATGGAACAGGAAATGAACCAGGTAATCATTCAACGTTAACTCTTTTACATAATCAATTTCTAAACATTTGGTAACATTTATTTTGTAAAAGGTATGGAGGCAAATAAATGTCATGTATCAGCAAATGACAGAAAGTGCTAAAGCATTAGATAAATTACACAAACAAAATGAAGAATATGTTAATGGTACAACTTCTACCATGGGTGGGATGGAAACTAAGGTAATTATTAAACTTAAGTGAAATTAAACGTATTACAGTGATTATTTACACGTGTAGGTGGGCGAAATAACAAAACGAATGACGGAAGTCGACGAGAACTTAAATTATCTCTTGGGGCGACTCTCACTAGTGACACAAGAATTTAATCAAATCAAAACAGGATTAGGTACCGCGCTAGATAATATTAAAGCATCGTTCAGAGAGGTGCAAGACAGAGCGAATGATTTAAGAGATCCAGGACCACATCCGATACCTGAAAATTATAAAGAATTTAATGAGTCTGATAATAGTAAGCCAGATGGTAAGCCTTTGCCAGAAATTGCCAATCATATTTTTAACCTTCCATCTAACTAAACTTATATTTTTCTACAATAACACTTGTAGATCCACCTCGAATGTAATATGAAAATGTCGTTCTTACTCTTTATTAATACACAATTCATTTTTACGAAATTTTCATTTTCCTTGTTTTTCAACGAACGTATATAATTTTATCGAAATATATTTATAATAGATCTGATGTGCAGCGATGATCATTTAAAAAAAAAAATATTTGTTTTAGTTGTGAAAATAAAGTAAAGCAATATCAATCTCATATCAAGGATCTTATTATCATATCGAGGAAGATTACATAATCTACACGAATAGTGTAGTAACGATCATTGCAATTTATATATAATCATAATATATTTTTTTCGAAGTATTTTACTTAAACATACGTATTAAACATTGTAACATTTTAATTCTATCAATGTTAAGATTTTTAAATGAAGTCTACGGCAATCGTTTCGAAGTGGAAGATAATGATAGCATTGATGAAAGTTTGGTACATATAAAATTTATGTAAATGTAATAAGTTTGGATCGATACATTTTCATACTGTCATGCCATACAAATATCTATTAAGTTTTTCGATCCAAAAAGAAAATATGGAAGAAAATGTGTAAAATATTACATTGTAAGTGTCGAAACTACGGTTCTGAAAGCAATGTTAATAGATAGATTTCCGCATAGATTTAATGACCATCATATGTATTATGAGTATAATGCTTTATAAACATGTATTGCTTATTACAATGATTGCTATATGTTATATATCATATTGGTACATTGTAAAGACTGTTGAAATGCTGTTAACGATAACGAGATCGCAGCGTTTTAATACAATATATTTTTCACCGTGTTTTTATATTTAAATCACACATTAATGGACTGTCATCTGTCATGCAATACAATATGAAAGTGATTTGTATTTCAGGATACATATCATTTAGTAAAAGACTAGATAACAATTGAAATATAAAAGTGCAATATTTTAACAAACTGGATACGAGTACTTACAAATTTATTATTGCCTGTTATATTTTTTCTTTACAAAAAATATAATTATTAATGTGACACATTATGGATAAGTGCCATCTCGTAAAGACTTAGAAATCAAATTTTTATAAACTTTTTCAAATGTAAAAAAATCGCATTATTATAGTACTAGTGGTGCTAATACCAATAAGATTTTTAATGTTAGTAATATCAATATTGTTAGATACTGTTTATACTAATAAATATAGAGACTTCAATGTGTTGACTATGCAATGAAACAGCAATCTGGTAACCTGTACTTAATCCTCTAAACCCAAGGTAGATTTTCACAGAATTCGTCGATTCTAATCTTTTTATTCTTGGCTGTCGAATCGAACCCACATTTAAGATTTAATTTTATAAAAATTGAACGGGAAGGGAAACACTTGAAGGATAATTCTGTCAATATTGTGCAAATAAAGAATTCTTATCTACAAGGTACAACTTCATTAATGCAAATTAATACTCTGATATTTATAGTTACAAGCAAATAAGTTGGCACATAAAGTATAGTAAACAGAAGAAATTAAAGTCATATTAACGATCAGATGCATAATCATATATTTTTTTCTTTCATATTGTGAAGTTCTTTTCAAGTAGCATAATTATCTACCATGATTCTTATTTTATACAAACAATCTTATCTGTCTATGTTTTAAAGATAATATACAACATTTGCAATTAAATTTCGTTACACTGGCTCATATATATGTATATATATATATATGATATTCTCATTATTTTTTTGTTTAAATATCATTTAATATGTACAATTAGTAACATTAAATTTATATGTAGCAGTACTCAACACGTACATGTGATCCTTTCTAACATATTAAATTTTTATTATTTAATGATGCAGGTCCACTATATCCAGCTAAATAAAAATTAATGGAATCTTATTTAGAAGTTTGTATAAGTATTGAATAACTTAATTAATAAATTAGAAAACTGTGATTATTTTAAACGTTACACAGTATCTTAGTACAAATGTGTCAGATTGGTAGCTGAATATTTAGATATAATGCAATTTCAAATTGTTTTGAAACATTAAATTTAAACTTTGTCGTTGTTGCTTACACTAAGTTATAATAAAGAAGTTTATTAAATGATAAAAGGATTTTGTAATGTCTAAATAAATTGTAAAGTAGTATTAAAAATCAAAAAGTATGAAATATTTATAGGAAATATTTTGCACAAAACTATATTACATTTTAACATTTCTTGTCAATATTTTCATTAAACCATTCATTACAGGTATGATTTAATAATATTTAATCTTACATTACACATGGGATAAAATATGGATATTGTCAAAAGACACTAGATTAATGAGTACAGCATTTGACTTTTATACAGATAGGAAAAAGATTAAGAAACGTTGGAACAACTTTGCAGATTGTACACACAATTATATTACATCAACATTTTTTTAACATCGTTTGTTGGAATAATGTACGAAAATTTTTTTCTCAAAAAATGAGAAACCATACCAAATTAGTATGTTGTATGTATAAATAAAAAATAACATTATAAGTATCACTTATAATTTATGCGTTATCTTCTTATAGAATCTTAGTTTCGATTAATTTGCCAGTATATGTTGTTAATTTCTTACAAATCACATGATAAATATAAGGTTTAAATTTTCTTTATTTCATAATTTCAGCTAATGAATTAAATGTTTATAAATTGTCAAACTTGTAATTTTTTTTATAATAATAACGATTACATGACAATTGTTAATCATGCGTCTAACGTAATACGAACAATTCTCATCGCAGGCTCAAAACAAATATATATTATTTATATAAATTATTGATGTATGTTGGTAGATTTGAATTTTAAAAAATTACAAAAGTACATTAAAAAAGCACTAGTTGCATTTCCATCAGTATTTAAAATAAGGTATTATCATACTAAGTCTAATGAAAGATTAATGAAATTTTATTGAAAAATTAAATATGAGTTCTAATTATTTTATAAATGTTTAAGATGGGATTAAATATATTTATGTATCGTTAAATTGTAAAATGTATCGTAATAGTGTTCACAGTAATTGCCTTGCAATTATGATATTTTACCAATTATCTAATTTATAAAATGAACTTGGTATGCAAGTAGATAACTAGAAAATTGTTATTACATATATATGTTAATTACAAGATAAAGTATCAACTGTTTTTTAAATCAAGTGTTATAATAATGTTCATTATGCTCATATTTTTTACATATTCGATAGCCTTTGTGGTTAGACATGAAAAATTTGCACGTGAGTTTTTATCGTTTCTTAAATTTGGAATATTAGCAAAGCGTATCAATCTGATCCATGATTCTCATTATGGATAAAAGAAACTTATAATTTGCTACAAATTTATAATCTTAATTATTATAATTTTCGATAATGCTACATTTTTGAGCTGTTAATTTTTAAGCTATACGAGCTGCATTGGGTACTTTACATTAAAGCACATCCATTAATCATAATGGACGACAGTTTATGCTACTTATGAGAAAGATTAACAACTAACATCAACTGTTTACTTAACAGTATATATTAGATACGTCAACAAGCTCCCGTGATAAGCTTTGGTTATTTAATAACATTATAAATAATTTTTATTACAACTCTTTGCAGTGCTAGATCCCTAGATGACATTTCACATATTTCGATTAGATTAATAAAAATTTCTATATTACATTTTTTTGTATTAGTAAATACCTATCGATGTAATAATACTAACTCATTATTTGCATAATTTGACGAATTTCTTAACTGACTTCTACTTTCATACTGATTTGCCCACATGTTCAACCTATTATTATATCTTATGTAAATATCTCTAGTAGAAATATATTAGCACAGCAAAGAAGTGTCGATTATAATCTATGTACACCCCCAATGCAATGGAAACGTCATTAGAAATGCCTACCCTATGATAAGCAGTGAGTTAGAAAGTTTTAACATATTGCACATACTCCAGCTGAGATTTCCTTACATATCGTAAAAAATAATGCAAGTACTCTGCTGAGCATTTATTAATGCCATTATCTTCATTAATCATTTTTTTTTTTTACAAAAGGATTTCTTAAATAAAGCTATGTAATTAAATTCGGAGTATTGGACGCATTATATCGGAATGCATTAAATTAATTTTGTCTAAGAGCAATGTAGAAGAGTGCTGGATACTTGCACTAATTCGTTTTTCATCTTTCTGGGTGCATACGATATACACTTGCCTTGGCAGTTTGCAACTACTTAATAACGTTATATTTAATGAACCACGTCTCTTGACCACTGCTGTTAACTTAATTTCGAATACGTACCTCATTGTAGTCTAAACAAAACCACCAAATGTAAATTTATTATTTATTTATAGGTCTATTAAAATACAAATGAACGTATTATTTCTATACACGGATATGAGAATTTATAATAAATATTGTCAATAGTGTTTATTACCTCTAAAAATTATTTATCGACAAAACGACTAAATTCCATAATATAAATGAATATTGTAATTAGGTCCACAATATAAAGATGTATATTTACGTGTATACTTTTAAAGTATCCATACACTCTTTTTTTTAATTATACTCTTAGAATATGACTAAAATTAAGCAGCTGCTAGCTCGAATAGTTGGATGTAGATATGCCCAGTTGACGTTTGCTACGCCGTTGGGGGTGTGAGTGGTCCTAGCTGCTAGTAGAAGCGATAGGACTAACAGGACTCAAAGGACTACTCGCAGGATCCCTGAGACAACCAGTCAATGTTATAGCTACTTTGCGACTTCCAGCATCGTTACGGTGTTCGCACAGCCAAATCCCTTGCCATGCTCCCAAGGTTAATTTGCCATCGGTAATTGGAATACTCAATGAAGAACCCAGAAAACATGCTTTTACATGTGCTGGCTATAAATAATGCGATTATGAAAAAAACTATATAACTTTATAATAATTTATATATAAAAATTTATATTGTAGACAAAATCTGATTCTTTTACGACAAACATATTATTTAATGAAAAAGGAAAGAAGGTAAATTTAATATTTATTATATCTAAGTGCATTACTATTTAATGCACTATATAATACAAATAATATGATAGAAAATAGTAAATTCAAAACAAAATTCAGATAATATATTGGTATAATTTTCTTGATCTAAAATTTAGGAATTGATATACTCGTTAAATGAGATAAATCTTTGGTTAGATTTTCAATTATCTTGAATACCATAATATAGAGTTAACTGCTACAAGCGTATTAAATTTTTCAGTTATGTAACAGGTCAACATAGACATTAGGTTCATGAATATCACATGATGGGTCAATGTCAGTTACATATAATGCGAATAGATTTCAAACAGCTTACACTGATACAAGAAAAACATATATATCTACAGTTACAAAACTTCAATGGTTAATATATTTATAATAGATACTTAAGCTGCATTTTTTTCTATTAAAAATATTCTTGACACCTTCCTTGGATTAGTAAAATATTTCCCTAGAGGAGTAAGCCCTCTTTTAAACAGTTATCAATTTAATGACATGAAGATTTTTAAATAATTGTGTACTCTTGCAGAAACGCAAGTATTACGCATTTCAATAACTATAGATACAATTCGTGATCTTACCATATCGTCTGGTCCTTCGCAACTGTGTCTATAGGCCAAACCTTCAGGAACTATTTTATTAAGCATCATTTCCACATCGTCTCTAACATCTGGATCCCAATTTTCATTTAACGCTAAACTCGCTGAGGTGTGAAGAACTGAAAATCACAAATGAATACCTAAAAAACTTTTCTTATTATTCTTGTATAAATTTTAATATTTTTAAAATTCTATGAGGAAAAGTCTATTTAATAATTCAAACTAAAAATGTATTTAATTATTATTAATGATAGATTATATAATGATAGAAATTAACTTTAATAATTGAATAAGTAATCAGAATAATCTTCTTTGTTTCCTATTGCATAAGTGTACATGAATGCTTTAAAAACTATTTGTCGTGAAAGTCTGTCTTTCATTTATTAGGTAAGACACAATGACACCGGTTTAAGTATCTTATAGCAAACATGGGAGTTTAAATTAATAAAAATTAAAAGGGATGGGACAACAAGTGTTTATTGTTTTAATTTTGTATGTATACGTTGTGTGCGTCGCGCGTGTGTGCTATAAACCAAGCTCTTGTTTAATGAATTGGTTATAAACACAAGCATACTCTATATAAGTACGCTAAGCGATCCTAACGTCCTTAATTATGTTAAGCAAGGAAATAAAGAAAATATAATAAAACACTATGATATCTAAACTTGGATATTACCATTTTGAAACAGCGCTTCGTAATATATTTCATAACGTAAGATTCACTCACTTTGTATGTGACAAATTCCAACAGAAAATTCGCAGAGTTCTGGGATTCTTCTTAATATTTCTTCGGTAACGTGGTGGATACCTCGACGCTGTGGCCTTAGGTTAATTTTCGTTTGAAACCATGCAGAACCAATTTGAATTTTTCTATTTGACGAGGCCATGATATGATGCACTGTAGATATTACACGTTTAACTAGAGTTTCGAATGAAATGTCTCGCAAAGCGAATATTAGGGAAAAAATCTACTTCGAGGAAAAAAAGTCACGAGAACACGGTCCACTCCATCGAATATGGTATACGTCTACTATCTTCGCCTCTTACCGGCTACAAGACGTATGGATTTAACCACATCTTTTCAAGATTGTCTAATTGCATCTGCTATATTCCGTATTCGTAAAAAGGTTATGAGAAATAATGATTGACTCAACGTGCACATACGTATCGAGTTTACATACATGTACGCTCACCTTCATTTACACGAAATATGTATCACTATTAGTATCACGTACGCATACTAATAGTGAGTGAACGTGATAAAATTATTCGACAATGGATCATCGTATCACTAAAAGGTTCAGATCTCTCGAGAAACGTTCTGGTTGATAGAGGTTTAACAATAGCGTGTCATATTGCTCGGAATATTAAATGCCAGAGAACAAATAAATCGAATAAGTAATCCAAACAATAATGTGAGCTTTCGGTAATAGTACGCATAGACAAAGGATCGCTAACGTAGGTGGGTATCTCTTTTCATTTTTCTGGGTCATTCTGCAGCGCCACTGGCGATCCACACCAAAACGAAACGAGAACTTACTACAAAGCTCAACTCAGCGCAGCTATACTGATCTACAGGGTGTCCGAAAACTCGCGTAGGAGCCGGAAATGGGGGGTAGCTGAGACGATTCTCAACAATAATTTCCTTTGCAAAAATGTCGGATGGGGCTTTATTTTTGAATTATTAACGATAAACACCGACCAATCACAGGGCCCGATTAGCGCGCGATCACCCGCGAGAAAATAAGCTCGAGCCAGGATTGGCTGGTTGCGCCAGGTCGCTGGCAGCTGGCTGAGCGCGCGCTAATCGGGTGCTAATCGGGCCCTGTGATTGGTCGATGTTTTTCGTTAATAATTCAAAAACGAAGCCTCATCCAACATTTTTGCAAAGGAAATTATTGTTGAGAATCGTCTCAGTTACCATTTCCGGCTTTTACGCGAGTTTTGGGACACCCTGTATGCATCATCCAAATAGAAGAAACTTTGTAAACAAAACGATGTGACAATCGCAAACGCAATTGGATCTTGAGTATCACGTAATTCTGATTGTACAGTTTCGTTCTTGGTAAACTACACAGTCATCCCTATTCATTCTATAAATTATATATTCTATATATTAAATTAATACAATAGAATACTAATACAATAGAAGATAAGTAGATAACACATTGAATAACTAAATTGATCCTCTGTATTAGAAGCCATCCATTGTATACGTACACGCACGTTCTATTTCTACATGTTTTACTATTTTATGGTCGAACACTATCCTCGTTCTTTCATGAAACACGCGTTATATTTTTAATATAAATAAGACGATGAGTGATACAGAATTTTTGGACGATACAGAACAAGATGTATCAGAGTCTCATTCTAAGCTTCTCGATGCTGTATCGCAACTCGATAAGGGCCAAAGGTAAATAAAAGTATCATTCAACTGGGACTGGAGAACATAACCTCTACTTTTTAGTGTTTGTTGTATATATTGTAAGGGATATATATATAATCTTTTAATTAAAGAAATATGAATTAGATTGTGAAAGATTTGTCTTTCTTTTTCGAGTATTACTAATATTTACAATTTTCTTTTCAGGGTAAAAAGAGCAGAAAGAAGCGAACCTACTTTGGAAGTGTCAGAATTTCATTTAGTGAAAAGTGGGATATCTGATCAGGATGCAGTTCTTATAAAGGATTTGGCGAAAAGTTTAGGTAAAAAGGGACATCATGTCGAAATTACTAGGAATTTGGAATCCGCGAGGAAGAAAGCGAATGTACTACAAAAACCATTGGAGAAACCTGCTGCAGAGAGAGTAAGACATTTTTTTACATTATATTCCAATTATAGATTTGTAAATCTATGCAATTGAATAGAAATATTAGAAACAGTGTTTAAGAGTACAGATATTTTAACCTAGATGTTAATTTCCTTTCAGATAAAAAGGATAGTTGGTTTTGAAAATACAAAGAAAGAACTTAAAAAATGGAATGCTATTATAACAAAAAACAGAACATCGGAATCGCTTCGATTTCCCATGAATCAGTCGTCGATGCGGTTGGAGCCATCCAAACAATTCGTGAAAAGATTCAGAATTCAGTCAGAATTAGAAAAAGAACTTGCCGCGTTAGAACCGCAGAAAGAGAATATCGAGCAAAAAGCTGATGAATTCTCATTAACATTGGAAGAGATTGCTATGAAAAGAAAAGAAGCCGCGAGAATTAGAGCGCAACAAGTTTGTATTAAATCATGAAAATATTTTGTTAAATATATATATATATATATGCATGTGTAATTCTATTCATTTTTAGTCTTACAGAGAAGCAAAGTCTCGACGTCAAGGCAAAATTAAGAGTAAGAAATTTCATCGCGTTCAAAAGAAAGAACGAATAAAACTGCAATTGAAAGAGTTTGAGGAATTACAAAAAACTGATCCTGAAGCAGCATTGGAGAAGCTTGAACAATTGGATAAAAGTAGAGCAGAAGAACGGATGTCGTTAAGACATAAAAGTACAGGAAAATGGGCTAAATCCAAGCAAATTAGAGCAAAGTACGATAAAGATGTAAGTCTGTTATATGTACTGGAAGAGACTGAAAATAATTTATCTGTCTAATTATATAAAGTAACAAGGAATTCCACAAAAATGTCTATAACATTCTTTTCCATAATTAGACTCGTCAAGAACTTGCGCAACAGTTGTCAGTTAGTCGAGAATTAACGCAAAAGTTAAGAAAACCAGATGATAATGAAATGGACAACGAAGATGAGAGTCCTATGCAGCCCATACTTGATGATAAAGAAAATCCATGGGTGAATAATTCTAAAACAGAAACGGAAATAGATGAATTTGTTAAGAGTTACCGTAAATATTGGGATAAACAAAATAGCAAATTAAAAAGTCAGGAACCTAATGTTAATAAAAATGATGAAAATAAAACTGAAAATAAAAAAGCAAAACTTTCAGCGAAGAATGTAAACAATCTTACTACTTTTGAAGGTATATTTTAAAAATTATCTATTTAATGAAAGCTACAAAATGTGTCATTTAATTTTTTTCGTTACAGACAAAGCTGCTACCGAAATAAAATTTTCTGAAACTCGAAGTAATGAAAATGATGTAAAGCCAGAGAAATCAAACGACGAAAATATAATACAAAATTTACATAATGTAATCACAAAAAGAAAAATATCAGATAATATTACAAAATTGAATAAAAAAGTCAAGTTACAAAAGAAAGATGTACGTAATATTACTGCCACTAGTACTTGGAATGTGGAATCTGTAAAAAATGATAACATTGAAGAAGCATTTCACTCTTCAACGTTGAACATTTTAAGTCATGAAAAAATGGATAACATGTTCGATGTTATGGAAGAAAAAATACAAAATAAAGTTAAATCAAAACTTGAACGTATTACGCAAGATTATAGTAAGAAATTAAAAAAGCATGAAATTAAAAAATCTTTCGAGTTCGAACAAGACGATTTCGATGGGCTTGAAATTCAAGCTAAAAATCGGAAACCTATCATAGATTCGTCTTTACACGAAAGTGTCAATGAACATAATTTGGAATCAGATATCGGATTAGAAAATGCCAAAAACATGGAGTATCGTAATACTCTCTCTGTAAATAAGCCAAATAGGTCTACAGCTGAAATAGATCCTGATAAATATATAAATGTAAAACCCAAGCAACTAAATACTGATTTTCCAACAGACGTCGTTAGAGGGGACGATGTTTTAGATGATAGTGAAAATGAAGATGAAAAACATAATGTAATAAGCGAAGCGTTTGCTGACGATGATGTGGTCGAACAGTTTCAAAAAGAAAAGCAGGAGGAGGTATTTAGAAATATTTATCTTATAATAAGTTATTTATTGATTTCTTTGTAATATTACGCAAAATGTATGTACAGGTAGAGAAGTTTCAACCCAAGGATATAGATTTAAGTTTACCAGGATGGGGTTATTGGGGTGGAAAAAATATTAAGGTATCGAAACGTAAAAAAGAACGTTTTATTTTAAAGTTCCCGAAAGATTTGCCCCGTAAAGATGAGAATAAAGGAGAAGTAATAATATTCGAAGACGGTAATACTAGATTAAAAGAACATCAAGTCACCGAATTGCCATATCCATTTACAAGTGTCAAAGACTATGAAGCTAGTCTCAGGATGCCGATAGGTAGAAATTTCGTACCTGAAAATGCTCATAGAAAATTAATCGAGCCTTCGGTTAAAACAAGCATGGGGAAAATTATCGAACCAATGAGTGAGGACGTTTTAGTGAATCAAGAGCGAAAGAAGCAGCAGAGTATTATTAAAAAGAAAAAGAATAAAATAATAAAAAATAGAAAGACTAAAATAAATAATAAATAAAATAGAATATTTCATACTAAAAAATAACTGTGTACAAATTTCTGTGTAATATAAGATTTTTAAATTTATTTTTCAAATGTTTCGTCTTATGAACAATATGTATGTAATATAATGTTTCGTTACTTTATTTCATGAATTTTTGTTGTTTCAAAAAGTTGATTCTGGAAATCTAAAATGATAGGTTAAATTTAAGAGCTCACGAGTAACAGAATATGGTAAAAGATTAATTGTAAATAAGAACAAATTATAATAGTATAACTCATGTGCAGCGAATTTTGTGCTGTGTGAATTTTTTACATTTAATTATATCGATGACGTAAATTATTTAACATCGTACAAGAAAACATTCCAAATTTAGTTGATTTCGAATAATATCTGTATAATGTGCGCATGTGCTAAAGATGGTTCGCGATTGGCCGAGAGGTAGGTACACGCATCCAATGTGGATGCGATGGTTGAAGAAGGACGTCATACAAGGGAGTGGGAGAAAGACGGATGCCACCATATTGCGCACGCGAGGGAAAGGGAAAAGGACAGAATCACCGCCGATATGATTGCTCGTTCACTTGTTCTCAGTAGTAAAGCAAAGTTCGGCGTGAAGAGTGGTTTATCGTACGTTTGGAGCGAAACACAAACTCAAGAAAGAAATTCTTGTTTGTCTTCACATATATCACTGTTGTGAGTAAAACTTAGTGCCTCCAGAGGATGGCAACTACAAAAGACGACAGCACCGATAATGTGCAATTCTTCGAAGGCGTGGAGAAACTCCTCGAGATTTGGTTCACAAGCAACAGTAGCATAAACAGAAAGCAGGGCGATCTCAGGCAGATTCCTCAGTAAGTCGAAATATTATCTCTCCTATTTAACTATCCGTCTCTCGTGGTCGTGTTCTGATTCAAACAAAATTCTTCGAACGTATCACAAAGTATTCGCATCGAATCTTCTCACTATTCGACACGTCTTCGCGTAACATCGTACCCTTTACGCGAATTCAAAGAAAATGTTAGGTCTTCCGTTTATATTTACACTTAAGCACACCTATGCCGTGCGTTAGCGTAATCCCAAGTGCCGTAAATATTAAGAATTTCACGATGTCATACAGATTAACCGAAATAAATGTTTCGGTAAGATTAAACCGGCTTGGTAACCATGACTGTATCGCCGGCACCTCGCGATATAATGTTCTGATAGTAATCGTTAGTGTGCTAAACGGCTTAACCCAACAGTCGCACGAGAATTCCTCTCTCACGTGCGTCGATTTTTCCACCGAGATACAAGCTATTAATTTCCGGTATTTGACGAGTATTGGCATCGCTTTATTCCAACTACTTTGCCGTGTATCGATAAACAAAACGATATTCGCGTAGAAATGTTCCCCGGACGACGTGCTAAACATCGGATAGATTGAATTCCACGGGTAGCGTGTATGTGCGTGTTTTTTGGCGAAGATCGATGCGCCCACCTTCTCGTTCCAGTAATACCGACCGCTCAAAGTGAGACTACGTGACTCTTTATGTATATACATCGTTTTATCTCTTTATTTTAAATTTTATATAAATAGGCACAAGTATCAGCGCGATCTTTTAGGCCTTTGCTAGAAAGAATTGTTCTAGAAAGAAAGAAAAATTCGTAAATATCGATTGTTACAAACAATCTATACAATCAATAATCTACAGTGTGTGTAAAAAGTATTCGTACACCGATCAATTTCCAAAAAACCTATGTAAAATTGTAATTTATTAACTTATTTTTTATAAACAATCAGAAAAAAAATAGCTATTTATGTAAGTTGCGAAATTAACAAGAAAGAAACAATTAATCGATAGAAATGTTGAAGCAATAAGTATTCGCATAACTGTTTAATTTTTAAAACTTGATTAAAAAAAAAAACAAGAAATTCACATTATTTTATAAGTATATAATACTTCGTTCGTGGGGTTTCCTTTTGATTTTATAATTATTGTAACTTTTCTAAGCATTGAATTAACTAAATTATTAGTTATTTGAAGTGGGATCTTCGTCAATTCCTCTATTAGAACCTTTTTCAAAATTACTTTACAAACAAAGTACTTTAGAATCGTACAAATACTTATTGTTTCTATACTTTTACCCACTTTTTGCGTTTTTTTTTTTTTTGTTAATTTCACCAATTATATTGACTAGTAAATGTTGTTTGGACTATATCTATCTTAGAGACTTCCGAGAATATGTAAAATATCGTTGATTATAAAAAAAGAAATTAAGAAACTACAATTTCACACACAAGTTTTTTGGGAAATTGATCGGTGTACGAATACATTATACACCCACTGTATTGTATAACTTGTTACCTGATTCCACCTAACTTACGTCGTGTGGGAATTAAAGTGTAGAATAACCCTCATACGAATCGTGATCGCGTTCGCTATACATCAAAAGTTCGTTTATCTGAATAACATCGTTTTAATAAGCGAACATAGAGAACATTATAGTCGTAGATTTAAATAAATTTAAACTCGCTTAAGAACACGGAATATTTAAAACAAACATTATGTTCTTCTCCATTTTTATTATATTAGTTTTCGTTACCTGACGTATACGGTTCGTACTTTCGAGAAGTATATAGCTCTATTTGTTAAAAGTAGATTCTTGTTATTTATTGTATAGTTCGGTGATTATTCTCGAAAATATACCGAATAGACATTGCATTAAAAAGCCATATTTAGAAAAAAATTATCGTATTAGCTAGTTAAGAAAAAATTTCACTGAAAGTTACAGCGCCATGTAGACTGTAAAATTTCGACGTAGATGTAGTGCTTTATCGTAACATTTTGTGTCTATCTAAGAAAAACGAAAATACAAAATTGTTCCGAATTTATTAGTTAGTCGTTAGTTTTTGGAATGTTATACAGGGCGTCCCAAAAATGTTGTAACACCTTGAAAAAGGTGGTTTGGGAGGTGATTTGAAACAACTTCTTCCTTAGCGAAAATGTTGTCCGAGGCTTCGTTGAGGAGATATTAACGGAAAACACTGACCAATCAGAGCGCGAGTATGCCGGTGGAGCGGCCGCTTGGCGCGTAGCGTTCGCTCCACCGACATACTCGCGCTCTGATTGGTCAGTATTTTCCGTTAATATCTCCTCAACGAAGCCTCGCATTACATTTTCGTTAAGGAAGAAGTTGTTTTAAATCATCTCCCGAACCACCTCTTTCAAGGTGTTACAACATTTTTGAGACACCCTGTACAATATCATTCAATTGTAGTCGTTCACTGCTAGAAGGTACAAATCGCGTGTAAGTGTCTTTGTAGTCTGTTTCATACGCGTCGCGTGGTTATCCCCACTACTTTTGGGAACTCCTTGCTCCGACCAGACGTCTGTGTTATCTCTGACACGCGACCGTCAGTAATTCGCTTAACAATGAGTCATTTAATGACATCTGCTCTAAACACTTTCCCCAAATGGCTACTACTTAAAAGGAAAGCGTAAATTATAACTAGACTGCAGATCTTTATGCATTTATAGGATATAGGAAACTTACAGCGATGTCAATTAGGGACATGTTAGTTCCCCTTATTATATCGATTTTATGAACGAGGTTTTGTTTGCTTTTGGGAAGAGTACAGAGGTGTACTTCATTTGAAATTATTTGGCAAAATTTTCTAGTGAAGATACGTAAACGGATAATTCTAATTGAGTCGTGTAATTACAAACATATAAAATGAAATAAAATGAATTCAAATGAAATGAAAAGGAATAAAATTGAATAAAATAAAATAATCGTAACAGTAATATACTATCTCTCTATTATTGTTATCAGTAGACTGCGCAAGAACCTGCAAAATATAAACAATATGCATGTATATAAAAATGATTGAAAGAAAAGTTCACGTTATAATATTTCCAAGATAAAATAAATTCCTATTTAGGTTTAATTTTACTAATTATAACACATTTCGAATTATTCAACCTTGTGTCAATTGTTAATTAAATGTTTAGGTTCGAGGTAAAATTGGATAATATTTGAAGAGATACGAGAGAAGCCACTTTCTATCTAGTAATTTGTTATTATAGTAATTTAGTATAAACCACAGAGGTTACGTAGCAATTTTTTTAGGAAAAATGTTTTCAAAGGTGTCCACTTTTAATGTTTATTTTCGAATATTATTTCTAAAGCAGTGGTTGGAGCAAATTTAAAATACCATTTCGTTTGATATCGATTAGTTAAATTGGGTTTAATGCGTATGCATAACGGAAGACTGTTTCGAAGCGCGTTCTGGTGTGAAGAAAAAATTATGTAATGCAAAATTATATTAAAGTATACTAAATCATATATGTTATATTACTTTGTGTAATATTATTTTATTAAATAATACGCCAAGAAGATAAATAGAAGATAATGCAAAATTATATTAAAGTATACTAAATCATATATGTTATATTACTTTGTGTAATATTATTTTATTAAATAATACGCCATGAAGATAAATAATGGTGAATATTTTACTGTAATTCAACTCGAATTAGTTGAGTTTATCGTAAGGCTGCTATAAAAAAACGAATGGAGAATCAAGCATACGAAATGCCTACGAAATATAGAGAGATAAAATTTAGACACGTGCAGTATTTATCATTTGAATATTTCCTGTTTAGATGTTCCATGGAATATTGAAGTACCGCGAATAGAATAAAATAGATAACGAAAGGATAAGAACAGTAAATCGTAGAATAATCATTAAATTTGTCTGATTTTGATCGAAATAAAAATCAAAAACGCCTCGATATTATTTAAATATTTAATATCATGGAATATTTATAATTACGTGTGTGGTTTATTTGACTATGAATTATTTCTTATTAACCCTGATTTACTGTGAAACAAAGTTGCGAAATATGTCTGTTTGTTAATCAACGTTTCGTGAAACTTTTTATCTCTGATTATTTCTTTTTTCTTTTTTTTTTTTTTTTCATCGTTCTTGGCCTCGCAAGTTTATTAGCTATTTATTCTGATTCTCGTTACAAAATTGTTCAACAGTCAACGTTCTCAGGCCTTCGTTACGCGATAACGTACTTTTTCGTATTAGTGTTTAATCTGGCGATGTGGTATACGAAACTCGATAGTTTAGTTTTTAATCAGCCGTGCAGCTAATCTTTCGATTAGCCGACGCGTTAATTCCCAAGATTGTTGAACGAAAGCTCGCAGACGTATTGATATATTTTTCGCGATTGGTTATCAACAGTTGTTTTTCTTTATAGCCCTATTAAAATGGCCGATAACACTTAAACTAGCGAACCAATCAATTTGACCTCATGTATTTCAGACTTCTATTAAAAGTGACTCTATTTTTTAACGCTGCTTTTGCCATAATTTTTTTTTTGGGGGGAGGGGGAATTACCATGGTAGAGAATCAATTATATCGATAAATTAGTTTATCGCTTCGTTTTTAAAATTGAAATAGCGGTAGTTTCGGCCACTTTAATATATATAATATTCAAAAATTCGTAGCTCTCTCAACAATGAACATTTTTAATCGAAACTTTTTTTCGTTGTAGATCTCATGAAATCCTACGAAGAAGATAGAGAAAGTTTTTCTCTAAAGTGAAGCTCTAATTTTTTTTAAAAATGAAAGAACGATTTTTTCAAGAATTCGCAAGGAGGATCAATGCCAATTTTGGTCAAAATCTAAAATTCTGTTTAAAAATTATTTTTCACTTCCTCGGTCAAAATGAAGCACGTTTCGTTAAATAACATATAAACGTAACTTCTATCATTTACGGGGTAAAAATTCCTAAAGAAAAGAAGAAATATATTCGACAATAATTTCATATCTCATCGAGAAGTACAACTTTTGTTTAAAATATTTCAGGTTTATGCCGAGAGGAAATATCATTAAAAAAAAAAATTCTTTTGTTTCCTTAAAAACCCATCAAATTTTTTATGCAAAATTTTGTCAACATCTCCCCATGGTTTCAGAGATATATAAATAAATATATGTATAAATAACCAGAATTATATCGAACCGGTTGTTTGGCACTGTGATTAGATTCCCATGAACTTTATTCTGCAAAAATTGTCAGTTGCAAATGGTTAATATACATTTTTATCAATTTAATATTAATGCTAGTTACGAAGTAATCAACACCAATTTCAAGCGAAAGATAAATTCAGTCGTGCAATTAATTCGACCGTACATTTAATTAAATTAAAATAAAATATCCTTTCTGTTCCAGACGGAAATGGCAGTCCTTACTCAAGATCGTTCGTTGCGAGATCATCAGCATCTGTCGTACCGAACACGTGGATGCTTATGTTCTAAGGTAAATAAATATTAAATAAACATTCCGCGTTTACGATGCGTTTTTAACCGACTTCGAAAAAGAGGAGGTTACTCAATTCGACGTGTATACTTTTTTTTTTCTTTGTCAATTTAATATACACGTGCCAGTTGAGTTAATTCCAATATCCTTTGTCCAGCGGGGAATCCTGTAAGCAGTGAATTAATTTTAATTACTTGTAAGAAGTAACACGCCTTTATTATATTTACGCTTGCGCATTGTCAAATTGCAATTGTAATACGTGTTTATTCCATTGAAGAATCACCCACAGATAAGCCTTCAATCCATTTAACGTGATATTTCATTTCGTTATTCCAATTAATGTTATTATCTTTGATTTTGTTAGACGAAATTTGAACCCACATCGAAATCATTTCGTAAATAACGTCTGGTATCGTTAATCGAGAATGCGATTAACAGGTAATTTCACATGCTTCTTTTAAACTGCATTTCCTTTGTATGAAAGTTTATTTTGCCTAACCAAGTATTTAGTCATAGATAAGATAAAAGTGTTGGTTGGTTTCTAATTGCAGATTCAGCCCGATAATGAGTCGTTGGCAAAGCATAAATAGAGTACTATCTGCACGTGACTACGTGAACGATTACATACCGATCACATTATATGTGTGGCACGAAGTGCAAAAGTTTTCAATTGTCGAATGCTACCAAACGTTATACCAGTAACGATGTAACGTAGATCATCTCTCATTCACGACATGTTTCATAGTTTCGCAAAAAATTGTTTCGATGACAGATTCGAAACGTGCAAAAGATCACATTTCATCTAACTGTATTTCGATACAGCGATGTAACAAAATTTACCTTTGATTTGATACTATTAAGGGAGTATCCTGAATTAGGAGACCTAAGAAAATTCATACAAAAAAAATGTTAAACAACTTTTTTGTCAAGTTAAAGTGATTTTTTTCACTCAAAGAACTCGGTTTTTTTTTTTTAAACTTGCAATAATTTCACAATTTTTGCGGGTTTTTCTTAGTTCACATAGAAGAGAAATGTATGAAAATGAAAACTTCTTTTGCGTCAAACCAGAATTACGACCTGGATCTTTTCCGCCGATAGGAGGTTTTAATTGTGAGATGCTCTACAAATGTGCGTCGCAGTCGACTCAATTTGAATATTTCTTGTTGAAAAAATTTGTACAGACTACTGAAATATGTATGAAAATAGGATAAAAAGTTCGATAGAATTAATTATTATTTTGCGTCCTAAAAAAATTCACGAAAAACCGCTTTTTTTTTAAGACCTTCTAATTCAGGATACCCCCTTAATAGCATGAGATTCTTTTATTCGTCGCATTCGCTTCTTCTTTCAATGGTACTTAGTTTTAATTATAGTTACAAAAATATCGTTCTCATTTGCGTTACCTGTAACTTACTAACAGTCGCTTTGAAATTTAAATTAAATAAAAATTTTAAACTTTGTCTTTAATACGCGGGGTACTTATAGATACTTGTTTATTGCAGTCGTTTAGGGATCGATACTAGAAAAGTTTCGTTACAGAGAGTAGGAAGCGTTTAAGGAGACGCGAAATCAATGTTTCTTGATGTGTAGAATAAATTGTTATCCACGTTTGAACGAGTTCAATGGCCGTTGTTGTACAAGATTAATCGAGATATGGGTAGAGTGCTATTACTAGGCGGCGGTTTATGCATTCATCAAATTTCCAATTCATCAAATGTCCAATAAATCAGAAAGTGCACATAGTATACGATAATAAAAAAAATTATACCGAAAGTAAAATTCAAACTGCAATATTGGTTCAGTATTTTTAGATACGTTTGCTAAAGTTATATTCAGTTTTCTTCGTTCTATCGTCTATTTAAAGGAGACAAAGAGATTCATAAAAAAAAAAAAGACGAATGTTATAAACAGATCCAGCCTCGAGTTTTGCATGGCATCAGAGATGAGCGATGATGAAGAATAAGTAAATAAATAAACTCTTCTATCCGTCATTTTTCGAATAAAACTAAACGTTTCGTCGATAGATTAAATCGTTATCGAATTACTAAGCATGGCTGTTTATAACCAACGAATTAGTCACCAAAATTCCCACACGTGGCATTAGACGTTTCAAACGCGTCGACAGAATTTGGCACTATTTACAGGCGCCGTTGTGCATTGTTTAGACAGTGTATTCAAGAGACTTAATCTCGTTCTCGTTTCCCATGTTTCCTCCGCGTGTTTCAATCTTAGATAATTCGCTCCTTATTAGCGGAACGCGATAGCAGAAATCTCGTACAAATACGAGGATCGTTTAACGTTCGACAGTGTTTAGACTATTCTTAATACACCCTAACGACGCGTGAACGCTGTTTTTTCGCTTACTTTGTTTCTTGGCAAATTGTTCAACTTTTATTCGTTATTCGAAATTACGATTTGGCTAGGAATTGCGATGGCGGAGCTTGAGGAGGGCAGGGGAGTGTGAGAGAATATGTGAATAGAGTAACGAGCTTTGCGTTTCAATCCACGAATCAGGATTCAATGACGCGGGGTTTAAATAACGTAGGATTCGGATGACGTAGGGCCGAGTCGGAACAGAAATATTTGGCAGTTGCACCAGTACCCGCGAATTTGCGTCATTAGTGGAGAGTTTTCAATGTAAACGTCAAAGATGACCATTTTTAGGGACTTGAATTTATTTTATGTACAGGTGATCTCACCTAGCTCTTCGATCTTGGATATCTTTTTTTGTGATAAAAGAAAAATGTAAAGGAAAAGATTGTTTCGAGGTCATTGACGGTTTTTTTTTCTAATGGGATGAGGTATTTTCATTATCGTAATCTTGTAGCTGATAAAACGACAAATTTATACATAATACGTTGACCTTCGGACGATAAGAAAAATTGATGTTGAAATTGACAATCGTTCTGCTGTGATGTTCCAATTCGTTAATGTAACGATTTCTGTATTGAAAAATGAAATGCCAGGATTCGTGGTGTCCCTCCTTAAACACTCACGTTGATTCCGTCACTTGTTGTTGAGTGTAATTGCAAATTGCAACGTCATTACGTAACTCTGTTTCAGAAACGCTTCGCTCGTCTCCAGTACCACGTGTTACGGGCTCTAAAAACGTATCAATTATCTTTCTCGGGCAACCGTTCTTGAACTTGCACTTTGCTTCGCGCTCTCTTCGCACGTCCGATTAGTCATCGGTACTCCTTCTCTTTTTCATTTCTTTGTACCTCTGGGAGGTCACGATGCGATTATTTATAATATTTATATTATCATTTTTAACACGTATATTCGTATTGTCTCGAGAGGTAGAAAACATTTCTTAAGTTGCAAATTTTTTTTTATTTGCTAAATCGAAGTGGTTTGTTCGTATTAATAGAATTATTAATATATTGATATAATATGTATTTATTGTTATAATATATACAAGGTGTCCCAAAATTTTTGTAACACCTTGAAAGAGGCGTTTCATTGGCTAATTACGAATTAATAAACACGTTGAAACCTAATACGAATTAAACGATTTCCAGATCCCGTATATTTTTGTCAATCAATATATCATAAATATATGTTTATTATAACAATAAATACATATTATATCAATATATCAATAATTCTATTAATACAAACTCTTTGATTTACCCCTTTCAAGGTGTTACAATATTTTTGGAACACCCTGTATATTTATGATTTATTGATTGATAAAAATATACGGGATCTAGAAATCGTTTAATTTGTATTAGGTTTCAACGTGTTTATTAATTCGTAATTAGCCAATGAAACGCTCGAAAAGAATTGTTTAAAAGATAAATGTAATTTTTGTCAGTTTCCTATTAGGAGATGTATCTGTATTTGACTGTTATTCGATCAATTGATTTGTCTATGGTCACTGTACTTTACCATATTATCTATTTCTCGCGTATATTTCCCCATATCGTTAGAACTAATAAAGTGACCCGCATGTTTCATTTATTGTGGCCACTCGTACATATTTAAAAAAGTTAGGGTCAACGACTTCGTGAAATATATCGATGATAACTCCTTCGTTGTATAGAGCATATTTAGAGAGAGAGAGAGAGAGAGAGAGAGAGAGAGAGAGAGAGAGAGAGAAATATCGATATTTGCGTAGTTACAAAATATTCGTATTATATTTTTCGTAGAGTCAACAACAACAATTTGCCTTTATCCTGGCCTAATACCGTCTAAATCTGCAAGCTAAAAATAATGTTACAGCGGAAGCCAAGTAAACGTCTTTTAATAACCTTCATTCTCTGATAACCTTGAATTCATTGTTATTACCAGAACCATTCGGAAAAGAATGAAAACGATTCGCTCTAAAGGACGATCGAAGTTCGATTAATTTCACCTGCGATATCGTTATTCGAATAAGTTTAAATCTTGCATTTTCTCTTTTATTTTGTATTTTTAACTGTACGAGTAATATATTTAAAAAGGGAAAGTAAAGGCTAAAGTAACGACGAATTATAAACGCAATCGAACGTGCGTTGTATCGTCGTTACTCTGTTAAAATATTAGTGGGTAATAATGAAATGGTAATGGGCGCAATAACGTAGAAATAATGTTATTGTTATATTCGAAACGTTTCTCTGTACGAGTGTATATAGAGCGCCAGGGAGCGATAAATATTTTGAATCTGAATTGTCGTACGTTCGTTGTTTAAATTACGTTTGAAACGAATACCTCGAGAAATTTTCTTCAGAAATTATTCGTTAAAATTAAAGTAAAAATGTTTAACAGAACGTGAAATGTATTTCGATTAATATTTTCTAATATTTTTGTGATTTTCAGCTAATTGTATCTATATTTTTTCGAACATTTATCAGATTTTACTCCAAAAGAAGTAATACAATTTGTTACAAATTTATTGTAATAGTTCATTTCGAACTTGAGAAAACCATCAAGTAGATGTAATAAACAAAAATAATGTAGCTTAAATGTTAAATCTTTCGATATTTTACTAATCGATATTACATATGATATACTACTAAAATGTATTAAACGAAATCCATTATTGTTTAACGATAAATTTTTTTATTTTACAGTGAAAGCAGCATGTTCCTATCAAAGCGTAGACTTATTCTAAAAACATGTGGTACAACTACACCTCTTCAGTGTTTGGAGCCACTTTTGGAGCTTGTAAAAGAGTACACTGGCTTTGAGGAAGTAGAGGTATACATTCTGTCTGTTATTCTCTAACTTTAATGCATGAGCATTTTTCAGTGGTCTGGAGATGTCATTACCATTTAAGAGAATTCCACTACTAATGGTACCATTGTATGAAACAAATTGCTTGCATAGCTAAGAAGTTTAAACAATTTTTAAACATATTTTTACAAACAACATAGTTGTAACAATTTATTAAGAATTATTAGTCGACCCTATATCAATTATTCTCACGTTGTATGTGTACAGAGGTCTGGTTACCGCGATATTACAATTTCGCAATTTTCGTTCATAAAAATTGTCATTTTCTGCGAGCCAATTGAAGTCGAAAGTACTTAGCTATATAACTTGACCTAGTGCATGGATAAGTGATGTGTCTATATATAGAAAACCTCTAGTATACAGGATACATCTCTACCTCTTGGTTTATTGATCTCTCTTACCTATGATACTGTACATGAAATGCATTTATCCAAAAATCACTCTTGATTCATGACTTTTGATCGTACTATATTTATAAACATTTATTCTAAATATTTTTATTTCGCCATTGTATACGATTAAGCATGCGTTATTTATTTATTTAGTAAAACATCAAGGAACACACGAGGAAGGATTTATGGTTTACAAAGTTTCCATCTGTTTCAGAATGTATTTTATTCACGGAAAAATTATAAAAAACCAGAGTTACAGATATCACCGCATCAAGCATTCGAAGAGGAAGTAGCTCTGCTCGATACATTCTTTCCCGGTAATAGCATTTTTTATAGTGGAGCCTATATAGTTTAGATTTAACGTTACGTGTAACGGACTTTATCGGTACTATGTAGGAAACTTTCAACTGCCTATATTTCTGTTTTTTAGATGGGGAAGCTTATTGTTTAGGCTCTGTGGATACAGATTGTTGGTATTTATACACTCTCAATAGAGAGAAATCTGCAGACGAACCCGCGGAACCAGATCAAACTTTGGAAATTCTTATGACTCATTTAGATCCAGAAGTAATGGCTATCTTCACTAGGGACATGTGCTCCTCTGCGGACGAAGCAACACAGAAGTCAGGAATTGATAAACTTATTCCAAATATGATCATAGATGATTTTTTATTTGAACCTTGTGGTTATTCGATGAACGGAGTATCTAAAAGCGTAAGTGCTTTGAAATGTTGCGTTTCAGTTAAAAAGAATTTCAGTTATAAATAACGAATATTACTTTACAGGGAAATTACATGACTATTCATATTACACCAGAGTCCGAGTTCTCGTATGTATCATTTGAGAGTAACATTCCAGAAACGTCGTATGAGGAGATAATACGACGTGTACTAAACACTTTTAAACCGAAAAAATTTGTCGTTACCATCTTCGCTAACAAAGAATCAATGGCTGCTACTTGTCCACGTGATTTGGAGCAAATTGATTATCTGAAATGTTCTGGGGATTGGTTGCGTACAGATGTTCAGTATTGTCGCTTCAAGAATTACGATTTGACCTGCGCATTTTACTCAAGATTCCCAAGCTGAGGGTTCATGGACGCTTCATTCGGTCTTAACCAATTAGGAACAAATGAAGCGCTTGCCGATACCCCTATCCTTTCTCAGACACCCCCTTCTTTCGCCACTTCCATTAACGAAACAAAGAGATACGGTCAATCTATAAAACGTATACTAAAATCTGATACTGTTTACGAAAACCATGGTCTTGTATCTACTCAGTACATAAAACATAATAATGAAAAAAAATCTAACAAGTGCACTATACAAAACTCTGCGATTACCCAAGACAAAACTGTATCAAACGTTACAGCATCCACGACTTCATTTGTATCCATACCTCGATCCATAAATCCCGACACGCCTATAGAAAATATATGTTTAAATACAGACAGGAACGATTGTCACTTTACACAAAATCATATGGATACGACAGAAGATATTAATCCTTATTCCGTACGATCTGTGTCATCGCCGCAATTAACAATTAAACCTGTTGCACAATCAAAAGTTTGTAGAAAAGCATCCCTGAAATCGATGAATTTATCAAATTCTACGTTAGATAATTCTATACCAAATCATCGTAAAAGTAACGACTCAATATCGGACACACGTATAATCGATATTTCTAACTGTTCCATCACCTTCGCAGATAAAGAGGTACCTTTTTCATGTCTTTCCGAAACGACACAAGGAAACGATACGAGAAATAAATGGAATACGGGAGAGGTGCACATTACTTGTAATCCACTATCAACGCCATATCCGTATTCCACGCCTCATCGTAACATTATGAGCGAAACTGTAACAGAACCACTAGACGACGAACCAAAAACTCGCAGCTGTGGAAGTTTTTTACCAATCTTATCGTTGATCCCGCAGACGGTGATCAGTTTTCAGTATTTAAGCCCGAAAATGAAATTCTCTTGGTGGAGAAATAAAATTTCGTGAAGGTACGCTTAAACGACCATTTAGCGCGATTGCTGCTAGTGGTCTTGTAGCGCAATTAAATGCTATTTGGTCGAAGCTCTATGAAAACCTCTTACCTCGTAGTGAGTTCCCAATCTTCATCAATTAGAGGTATCCTGTCATCGTTACACTTGTATGTCAATCAGTCTATACCCTTTTATTACTCCAAGTAGGGTCGTACAGAGAGAAAGCATGCAGGTAGATTTTAAAAAGAAACATAAATAGTTCCTTCACATTATGGAAACGTTTTGCACAATGTAAAAAGAAACTTTGAATCCTTTGGAAATAATATCTATATTGTACACAGCGGTTCTGTTGGATCCTCTAGTCCCTGAAGTTTTTTCCTAAACTTTGCTAATTTATGAGTAGAACGAAACAAGTATCTTTTGCTCTATACGGAGAGTTCTCTTACAATTTTGTCTACTTATAACGATAATCTTAGAAATTCATGATAGAAAAAAAATCAAAAATAAAAACCACAATATGGATTCTAACAAGACACATCAGTCGTAATGTAATTCCATTAAATTTACGCTTCTATTATAAATTGCTTTCTCTAAAAGATGTGTACCTATTTTCAAATATATGTGATCACAAGTCGAAAAGCTAGGAATTATTTAAACATACTCTCCTTATCATTATAATATTATATAAGTAACTATATGTTATTTCTAATTTAACGTATCATTTTGGTAAAAAAAAAAAAAAAAAAAAAAAATACAAAACAAAACGTTTTAATCTATAGGAGCTTCTGAATTTATTAGCCTTTTTAATGCATACATCAAAACATGAAATATTCCATGTGAATAACTACTCTATGTGATATTACTAAAAATATGAAAAAATAATACACCAGTTGGTGTTATACGATGTTAAGAATTTAGATTAATCCTTTATAAACCTCCTTGTTGACTTCTTTATTAAACTAATGTAAATTCATTTTATGAAATGGAAGAAGCATTAAGCTACTTATGATTAACTGAATCATTCCTATATGAGTGCGTGTAAAGTGTTACGTGCGAGCGATGCGTATATGACAAGTCATGTTTCCTCTAAAATTTGTATTTCTCTGTGAGAAATAATGTTATTTAATATAATTTATATCTACAAAGAATCCATATCGCTAAAAAAACAAGAAAAAAATATAAAAAAAAATTTGATTGTTATTTCATTTATTTTCTTGAGTTTTCAAACTATTTTTCTTTTTAGAAGTATTGACTTCCGTTTCTTCTTGTTCTTGTTTATTTTCGCTTCGATAGCTTCTATGTAAAAGTCCAGTTATGAACTTATATTTAGTTCAATTCGACGATTATACTACTCTTTTTATATTTGTTGAGTAATAAATATTTTTTACGAATATTTATATTTAATTGTGTTTCATTTCAGATTTCCGAAAAATTTGTTCTTTTGTAATTTCAATGACGAACAGTTATATATATGTCGAAGTAAACAATAATTTGTAAAAATGTTTAATTTTCTTTTTTTCGAGAAAGGGGAAGAAGAGAGACAGAGAGACAATAAGAAACGTAACTTAAATAAAGGTTTTGTTTCATATATGTATAAGATTTAACTCTATAATTATAGGAAAGGCGTTAAAAATTCATCACTTAACAACAAATACAATAGTGATTTCTAATGATTAATAATACCATGCAATTTATACTGTGATTTTTTCTTGTCATAAAAAAAGTTTCGTTTACGCTGTATATATGTACTTTATAAAAATTTATTTTACTTAATAGTAGTGGAAAATCTGCACTATCAACATTACTAACCAGTTAATAACATAAGTAAATAAAACGTAATGCGGTAGGTAATATACATCATAGTCCCATTAAGTGCTTTCCAAAATATATTATCCTTTGCTGTAGATTATTGTTGCATGTAAAGTAACTTAATTTGTGTATTATACTCATAAAATAAAGATTATATTTAGTCATGTAATACTGTGTAGAATTTACTTATTATTATTAAATGCGCTGTGTTTCTTAAATTTTATTTCAAATAAAACCACTTTCCACTATCGCTTTCAAAAAGGCAAATTATTGATAAGTAAATATCATTCTTTCTATTATCTCTGTAACAATATAGCGACCTGCAAATTTATCAAATTATATTGTCAGGTTTAATACATTCTTGTTTAGTGAAACGAATTCCACTGATCATTGCATTAAATCTTGAACGTAACCCATGCTGTATACTTTTCTGTGTCGTTTCTTGAAGTTCATTCTGTATCTCATACATTTCCATGTCAAATTTATTTTGAATTTTAACTAATGCTAATAACGAAGGAAAATACACATGTATGAGAATTAATCGAAATAAGATTAGTATCTAACTAAATTAGAGAAGTGGAAACCTTTTTTAACTAGTTTTTATATAACAAATTTATTTTAAATCGAGCTTTACCTTTTTTCAAATCCATGTTGTCCATTTCTACATTATTAATTTTAGATAACTCGTTTCTAAAGCTCTTTGTTATTTTTTTTCGAATATAATCAGCCTCTATTTCTTGCTTGGTCCGTGGCACTCTGAATCGAATGCAACAACAAAGTCCGATGAGTACGCTAAGCAAGATAGAAAGAATTATGCCTGCGAGTTGCCAAACGCGGAACCCGGCCAATGCTTCGTCTTCCAACCATTTTTCGACACCTTGAACACAATCTTCTGGACCTATAGCTACTTCAGTAGGTGAGCATGGTGAAACAGGAGACGAAGACGAAATTGATGCGATAGTTGACTCATTCATCTCTTTCATAGCGCGATAACTGAAATTTCTTAGTTATAAATAGATAAATTTCAGTGTCAAATTGTCATTACGTATAGTTACTTTGCTTATCTTGTTATAGTATTAAGTATGTAATTTTATTATCTAATGCACATATAAACATTTCGATGTACTTTTGAATTTAACAAGATCAACAATGGTATTTCCTTTAAAATATTACATACAGATACTTACTGATTGTTAAGAATGTAATGAAACTTGCACCAAAAATGATGATTTAAAAGTCTTTTTCACTTAATTTTAAAAATAATAATCTAACCCGCGCAGAAGCGTTAACAGAATGAACAGAAGAACACTTGTAACCAAAGGTCTGAGAGTCACACAATGTTCCTTCTGACAGTAGTGGATAAAAGGGTGTGGTTATTAATGAATACTCGTGCTTGGCACTCCTTGGCTTATATCTAAATTTGACTTTCCAACCCTTATAACCACCCACTAATTACAAGTCAATAACGCTAATTAATATAAAGGTTTCAAAATTACATGACCTATTATATAGAATTAATACTTTTATTATATTACAATAATCATATGTTAATAAGAGAGTATAGATAATGAAAATAATTTATCAAAAAACACAATGCTGTGTTAAACATTCGAATGATATATCAGTGTATTATTTCGTAAGATCCACGCAGTTTTAAATATTTTCCGTTATACGTGGACTGTTAGAAAACGATGATTCAAATGAAATCGATTAACAAATAGTATATTAAAAAAAGAAAAGAAACGGAACATGTACATATTTGGATCTCAGAGATCGATGTTAATGTCATTATCATATTTTTACATAAAGAAATAACGAAGTAGAAGAACTTCATTCACAGATTGTGTATTCCCTGATTTCTTTGTAGACTCTATGTATTCTTGTAGCGTTACTGTAAGAACTTTAATATAAAATGACTTTTTAATCATGCACTTTGTTGCTGTACACATAACGTTTTTAATATGTTTACAGCATTATAGACTTTTCTAAAGAACATTGTACTGTTCAAAGACAATTCGTAATAAAACTTGAGACTGAAACTTCTTAACTCGTTAATTCACGAGTCAGAACTTTCCATTACAAAGAATATTCCTTGCTAGAAAATTGAAAAGTTTCTAGCGAATCTATAAGATAAATGAAATCTTTATCATTTATCCTTTATCGAAACAATATTAGGAATATAATCTTATGTATATATTCTCATTCCTTTCTGATGAATGTTCGACCCCTGTAAAACATAAATATTTGAGCATGTTATCCTAGCAAGATGATTCCATCAATAAGTAC